GTGGATTTCACAGCTTCTTTCTGTAAGACCACGCTTCACCATTCAGCTCTTTGTTCCTCTTCTGTGATTTTTTTTAGCTTTTCACCCATATTGCGTGTACATCAGCAACAAAGAAGTGAGCTTTCGTAGAATAGAATATCTTGAGTTGGAAGAGACCCACGAGGATCGTCGAGTCCAACTCCTGACAACGTCGTGTTGGTAGTGATGAACTTTGCATCACGTGCAGCTTTGCTTATTGCTTCAAATTTGGTGGGGTTTTTTGGTGCTGATCAGTACCTTGCAAAGAGCAGAGCAGCAGATCTGTCCCCCTCTGTGATCTTCCCCTTTAGGACCCCTGGATCCTGGTGCTGTTGAATTTGGTGTGCTGAGATGAGCGCCACATGATGACTTCATTGAAATTCTGAATTTAAGTTCTGAGCAGAGTTTGTGATCCTGATTTTAACTCAACTGATTTGAATTCTGTGTGCTTTCTTGGGTCAGTGTGGAAGCGAACAATCACACTTTAAATAATGATTAGCCTAAGCCTCAGAATGCTCATCATCCTCATTAAGGTCATTATTTCAAGCAGCTTTGTATACTCTTACCTTAACACTCACCCCAAGCCTCTACCTTTGCTACAGCACAGCTCTTACTATTAACCAAACATCAACAGACACATGATCCACGTGGGATGTCATGGTTTGTTGATAGTTCTCCAGCCTTATTTTTAGAGCAGGTTTTAATCATGTCGAGCTTATTAAATTACAGTGATGTGTTGAGACTACAGTTGAGGTCCTAACATCCATTGGGCCATTGCTTCCCAGTGCCCTCTGAGAAATAGAGAATCATGGAATCACAGAACAGTTGTGTTGAAGGGGACCTTAAAGATCATGGAATCATGGTATGGTTGGGTTGGAAGGGACCTTGAAGACCATGGAATCACAGAATGGTTGGTTCAGAATCTTAAAGATCTTGGAATCATGGTATGATTGGGTTGGAAGGGACCTTGAAGATCATGGAATCACAGAATGGTTGAGTTGAAGGGAATCTTAAAGATCATGAAGTCGTGGTATGGTTGGGTTGGAAGGGACCTTAAAGATCATGGAATTATGGAGATGCTGGGTTGGAAGGGACCTTAAAGATCATGGAATCACAGAATGGTTGGGTCAGAACCTTAAAGATCATGGAATCATGGTATGGTTGGGTTGGAAGGGACCTTAAAGATCATGGAATCACAGAATGGTTGGGTTGAAGGGAATCTTAAAGATCATGAAGTCGTGGTATGGTTGGGTTGGAAGGGACCTTGAAGATCATGGAATCACAGAATGGTTGGGTCAGAACCTTAAAGATCATGGAATCATTTTATGGTTGGGTTGGAAGGGACCTTAAAGATCATGGAATCATGGTATGGTTGGGTTGAAGGGAATCTTAAAGATCATGAAGTCGTGGTATGGTTGGGTTGGAAGGGACCTTAAAGATCATGGAATCACAGAATGGTTGGGTTGAAGGGAATCTTAAAGACCATGAAGTCGTGGTATGGTTGGGTTGGAAGGGACCTTGAAGATCATGGAATCACAGAATGGTTGGGTCAGAACCTTAAAGATCATGGAATCATTTTATGGTTGGGTTGGAAGGGTCCTTAGAGACCATCCAGTTCCAACGCCCAAATATAGGCTCTTCTTCTTCTTTGGTTTGTTACAGAAATACAGGTTCTCCCCCTTTGATTCTCTGCGCAGTAAAGTTTCTCTGTAGGAGTCGTCTTGGGTGCACTGTCAGAGCAAAATGTTTGGAAAAGGGCTCCGAAAATGAAATGGAAGTGTCAGCAGTGGTGGGGCCAGGTTGGACTCCGGGAGTGCCGTAATGAGAACCCGCTTTGCAGCGTAACAAACACCATCATTGTTTTAGTTGCTCGTTAGTTAATGTTGTTCTAATGAGGCTCTGCTAATGGCATCATCTGACATTGGGCAAAAAGAAGGTTGGGGGAGTTAAAAAGAGCCTAATTAGCAAGTTAATTATAGTGGGCGAGGAAACGGCCCGGTTATATAAATCAGCTTCTGTTACGCACACACGGTAAAAACCTCTCTGAGCTCGGGGAGCAGAAGTGGGGTTGGAGGTGGGAATGTCCCACGGAGCTGGGGTTCCTCAGCCCAAAGGGAGCCCAGGAGCCTCCTGCTGCTGCACCTTCCCTGCCTCCTTCCCCAGCAGCCGCAATAGGAGCCGCCGGCACCCGCAGCATGCTGAACAAGAAGAAGTACAATGTCGATGGCGATGCAGGGAGAAAAGCCCAGGTGAGGGCAGCCCCCAGGCACCCTAAGGCTTTTTCCTGCCCCCAACATCCCTTTCTTTCTGTCTCTGTCCTCCTCTGATTCCCCAAAACCACCTCTTTTGGAGCTGGCTGGGGGAAATCCCTCCTTTCTGCAGAACTCCTTTATTTTCTCTCGGCGCCGCGGGGCTGGTCTGTGTTGCACTAGGATGAACTGCGGGCGCCAGAACCGCGGTGCAAAGACCCAGGAACATCCCCAACTAGAAGCAAAGCTTCTCTCATTGGCACATAAGGACTCGTGGCTCCTTGCACATTAACACTTGTGGCTCAGGTTTCTCAGATTGAAGCAGCTGGAGGTGGAAAACCACAGCATCGGTGCAACTCCTAAGCCACGCACCTGCAGCTCTCCAAGCCTTCCTATTCCCTCCTGATTAGCACAGCCAGCTGCCACCAGTGGAGGCATTTCTACTGGAGCTCAGGTTCCACCTGCATCCTCTCTGTCTGACCCATCCTGCAACACCTCTTGTTGAACAGAGCCAACGTGATGGAGATGCTCCCGCACGTAGAAACACTTTGAGAGGTCTGAATGCAATTGCTGCACCGCTGGGAATTACTGCACCTTGAATGGGCGACGTGGGGAGGGGAAATCCCAGCAGAGCTCTGTGATAGCAGTTATTCGTTCCCTTGCAAACTGTCTCCATGTTTCCCATCGTTGCACGCCGATAACCTGGTGCTTTCATGGAGTGGTTCTGCTCGCAGGGGTTTAAATGAAGAAGAAAATTTATTTCAGGCCAACAGCTTCTTAGGAAAGGAATCTAAACCCCACTGTGTGCTCAGGTACCCTGTCCCACCGGGACCCACTGTGATTCCCAGGGATGAAGGAGCTCCCATCACCTTTTCCCTGCTGCTTAACCCCCTCAAACTCAGCTTTATGTTCCTAGAAAAGGGTCAAATTCCTTATGCATAGGTGACTTCTTCAAGCAAAACCACCTTCTCAGAATACCCCGAGGGTTCAGTTAATAGACTCAACTAATGGTTTGCAGTAAATTGGAGATGTAAATATTTAATCCCACTGCACCGTGTCGCCTTGTATTTTGCCCATAGCAAAGTCCAAGGAGTTTTGCAAGTCGTGTTTCTGATTGTACAGAATGGGTTGGGTTAGAAGGGGCCTTAAAGATCATGGAGTCGAGGAATGGGTGGGTTGGAAAGGACTTCAATGGTTGGGTTGGAAAGGACTTTATAGAGCATGGAATCATTGAATGGTTGGGTTGGAAGGGACTGTATAGATCATAGAATCATGGAGTGGTTGAGTTGGAAAGGACTTTATAGAGTGTGGAATCATTGAATGGTTGGGTTGGAAGGGACTTTATAGATCATAGAATCATGGAGTGGTTGGGTTGGAAAGGACTTTATAGAGCATGGAATCATGGAGTGGTTGGGTTGGAAAGGACTTTAATGGTTGGGTTGGAAAGGACTTTATAGAGCATGGAATCATTGAATGGTTGGGTTGGAAGGGACTTCATAGATCATAGAATCATGGAGTGGTTGGGTTGGAAGGGGCCTTAAGGAGCATAGAGTTGTGGAGAGGTTGGGCTGGAAGGGACTTCATAGAGCGTGGAATCGTAGAGTGATTTGGGTTGGAAGGGGCTTCACAGATCATGGAATCATGGAATGGTTGGTTTGGAAGGGTCTTCATAGATCACAGAATCATGGAATGGTTGGTTGGAAGAGGTTTTAAAGATCATAGAATCATGGAGTGGTTGGGTTGGAAGGGGCCTTAAAGGTCATAAAATCACAGACATGGAGCAGCCCCACTGCTTGTGGAAGAGCACTGGGAGCAAGGGGAGCCTGATGGGACCGCATCCAGAGCCCAGAAATGGGACATGGGGACAAAGCCAACCTCTGTGGCCCAGCAGTGGGATCATCTGCAAGAGCAGGTGTTTGGGTCAGGTGGGAACCTGGATTGGGGCAGGCACTGATTATTTGGCCTTATTGAGCCAAAATTGATTAGTAGGGAGCTTTTCAACCAAGAGTGGGGACCAAATGAACTGCAGACAAAGAATTCTTGCAACGAGAGGCTTGTTGCAGGAACGGGTGTGAAGCTGCAGGCAGGAGCCTACCCTGTAGTAAATGTGTCTCTTAAAGCTCGTTTCACCCTAAGAAGCATCTAGACAGGGGTGGCTCTGCTCTAATTATCCCTCCTGCACATTATGAATCCGAGTAATTACTCCTAATGGCTCTGTGTGGCAGCTGCTGCTCACGTCCTTTTCTTGGCAGTGCTGACTGCAGCATTTGGGTCCCTGTTTGACCCAAGGTGGCCCATTTTTGAGGCAGGGGGAGGCTCAGCTATGCTCTCTGCCACTGTTTGTCCAAGCATCCTTAACTGACCTTGGGTGATAGAAATGCTCCTTCACACAGAGTGTGGCTGGAATTCATGACTTGGGGTGGTTTGGGTTTTGTCTATTGTACTTCTTTCACAGTAAGCAAAGGGATTTCCCATTCACTGCAAAGAACACTGCAGGGTGGGTCAATCCCTTGTCATTCTGCAGAAGCTGGGGAGCAATCGGGCTCTCCTGCAACAAATAACTTTTATTTATAGGGAAAATAAGTTTGCGTGGAAGGGGAATGGAAACCATCTACGTTCTGTGCTGTAAGAAGGCTCGAGGAGGAGCGTCAGTTATTCAGAGGAGGGCTCGGGATCCTTCTGCCCAGCCCTTGGGTTTTCCCACCTGCTCTAACCCCCCGTTTCTCTCCCCAGATCCAGTTTGCTGACCAGAAGCAGGAATTCAATAAGCGCCCGACGAAAATCGGCCGCCGCTCGCTGTCCCGCTCCATCTCACAGTCATCAACAGACAGCTACAGCTCAGGTTGGTGCCCCCCCCATCCGTGTGTCCTGTCCCTCTGTCTGTGCACCCCAACATCTACGTGTCCCATCCTGACACCCACCTGTCCCATGCCAGCATCGCTGTCCCCCATCCCAACATATGTGGATCCCATCTCAACGTCCGTGCATCCCAGTGTCTGCGTGTCCCACCCCGATGTCCATGTAGACCATGGAAAAGGAGGAGCGTGGGAAGGGATTGTTGCTTTTATCTCATCATCTTCACTTGTGTTTGGGTGGAAAAATAGGTTGTTCTGCTCTTAAAACTCTCCTTTGAACCCTCGTGTACGTCTCCTGCTGCCTTTCCTCCTCTCTTTCCCTTTCTTTTTCTCTTCCCGTTCTTTCCCTCCTCTCTTCCCCTTTATTTCCTCCTCTTTTTCCCCATCTGGTTTCCTTGGGCACTCCCAGTTTATACTGATAGTTCATTCCTGGAGCAGACTGTGAGCATTTATTAAAACCTAACGAGATCAGGCTGACTTCACCGTGTGCCCCACACATGAAATGTCCGACGTTTGGTGCTGATGCAGAAACACGACACAGCAAAGTCCTCGAAACAAACCTGGGGGAATTGGGTGTTTTTCTGGGAATGGGAATTGCTCACTGGGGGTGTTCTCACATCAACAACAGACCCATTCAGGATCCATGGCACAGTGAGGCAGTGCTGCTCACTACCTGAAACGCAGCTCCTTCTCCCTCTCCCTTCCCTTTCCTTTCCCCTTTTTCCCTATTCTCCCATTTTTCCATTTTCTCTCCTCTCCTTTCCTTCCCCTGTTCTCTGCTTTCCCTTCTTTCCCTTCTTCCCATTTTTTTCCCCCTCCTGTATTTCCCCTCCATTTTTCCCCTCCTGTTCCCCTCTTTTTAAAATTCCCTTCTTTGTCCCCTTCTTTCTTCCTCCCCCTCTTCCCCCTTTTTTTCTTTTTAACCTTTTTTTTCCCCCTTTTTTTTTCCCTATTTCATCTTTTCTGTTCTCCTTTCCTCTCCCCTCCCATCAGTGCACAAGAATCTGGGTGAGATTTGATTTACAAAAGTCGCCTTCAGCCCCAGGAGATCTGCAGTTCTACAGAGATCTCTGCACAGCTCTGCTATCCTCCCACAGCCCTCAGCATTGCACCGTGGGATTTGAGGTTGAGCAGCCCTGCTGCCCACCCTTGGACCCACACAGGGGTTTGGGAACAGGATTGTGGCAGAGACATTCCAGCAGCCCTTAATTCCTGCTAAGAGCATTAGAGCTGAGCCGTGTGGGGAGCCCAGCACTGAGCTCGGCCCTGGGGATCGCTGGAGGGTTTCCTGAGAGCCAGGAGGGAAAGGAGCTGGATCTGGGGTGCTGCCTGATGGCCGTGCCTCGGATCTTCTGCTGTGGAAATGCAAGCAGAGCCGTTGGTAGGGGATTGCATGGGCTCTGAGTTCTTGGAAGGTGCTGCAAATCCTTTTTTGGGTCATTCCCACAGTCTGGGTGCCTCCGTAGCGCTGTGGTTGTGGGCAGAGGTAGGACCGTGGGCTCAGCTCTCTGCAATGCAATTCATCCACCCTTCATGTCATTCTACTCCTCTAGCATTGTTTAAGCACGGAATTGGGGTAGAAAGATGCAAATCAGTTCTGCCTGCTCAGCAGGACAGCGTCCTGGAGCTCCTTACCTCTTGGAGACCTTCCCAGGAGAGATGCTGGGTGCTGAGAAGCTCCAATCTGGGACTCTTGACTCATAACAATTTGCAGTTCCAAAAGGAGCTCAGCAAAGGGAAGCTTAGAAATAAACTCATCGGAGGGCATTCGATGAGCGAGCTGCAGGTCAGTGGTCAGCTCTGCTCAGCTCCCCATGCTGCTCCAGGGGATGATTTTGGTGCCAGGTCTTGTGTTCATGCAGAACTGTGCCACTGTGAGCTGGGTGAAGGGCTTTGGGTAATGCTGCGTGGGGAGTGAGTGATGGGCTCCTGAGCTGGGTGCCAAGGGGCAGCCAGAGAGGAAGGGAAAGAAGAGGAAAAGAGAAAGAAAAGGAGGAGGAGGAGAAGAGGAATAGAAGGAAAGGGAAGAAGAGGTGGAAGAGGAGGAAGAAGAGGCAAAACAGTGTCTAAATGTTTCTTCCCTTTCCCTTTATCAAACAAGCAAAAGGAGGGCATGGTTAGTGAGCGTGGTGGGGATGTTTTGGTGGTTGAGCTTAGGGATCCCAGACCTCTTTTTCAACCCTAATGCTTTGAATATGAAAGCTCTGCTCCCTCTCTGACCTCCTGTTCTCCCCCAGCTGCCTCCTACACTGACAGCTCTGACGATGAGACCTCCCCCCGAGACAAGCAGCAGAAGAACTCCAAGGGCAGCAGTGATTTCTGTGTGAAAAACATCAAGCAGGCAGAATTTGGGCGTCGAGAGATCGAAATCGCTGAGCAAGGTGAAACACCGCGTTCCTTCCGCTCTGCCTCGTTCAGGGCTTGTTGCACTGCTCTTCCTTCTCCTGAAGGTGGAGATTTGCAAAAATGTGATGTTATTGAATCCTAAGTTGTAGGAAGAAGCTTCTTTGCTGGTAGAAATTTGGAAAATGTGATTGTATTGCATTCTGGGTCGTAGGGAAAAAACCTCACAGGGATGTGGGATTAGTTTTAGCTGTGCCCTGACTTCTTTGATGCCTCCATTGAAGCCTTTTGCTTCTCCATGTGTGGCACTGATGGACCTCTCTCCATTTTGCCTTTCAGAAATGCCTGCGCTGATGGCATTGAGGAAGAGAGCTCAGGGAGAAAAGCCACTGGCTGGGGCCAAGATTGTGGGCTGCACACACATCACAGCCCAGACAGCGGTGAGATCCCATCCATAACCTCCTCCTGTTTTATTTCAGTGTGGGACTGATGGAAGTGGGGCTGCTGAGTGCTGTGGCTGCCTGTCAGAGCTGCAAAAACACTTGGGTTTGAGTTCTTTAAGGTCCTGTCCAACCCAACCGTTCTGGGGCTCTGAGATCTTTGAGGACCCTTCCAACCCAACCATCCCATGGCTCTGTGATCTTTGAGGACCCTTCCAACCCAACCATCCCATGGCTCTGAGATCTTTGAGGACCCTTCCAACCCAACCATCCCATGGCTCTGTTATCTTTGAGTATCCTTCCAACCCAACCATCCCATGGTTCTCCAACCTTCCAACCCAACCATTCTATACTTCTGTTATCCTTTAGGTTGTTCCCTTCCAACCCAACCATCCCACGGCTCTGTGATCTTTGAGGACCCTTCCAGCCCAAGCCATTCTTCAATCCCATAATTCTATTGGTAGTCAAAATCAGTAACACAAATTCACACCACAGATTAGACGAACTTCAGATGGCCAGTGGTGAAAATGAATTACTCTCTGTCCGTGGATCTGTTCAAGCACCACAAATGCGTTTTGTATAACTGCAGGTGGTGTAGCAGAGATGCTCTCTGTAGCTCTTCCTGTCTCTTAATCATAGAATCACAGCATCACAGAACTGTAGGGGTTGGAAGGGAGCTGCAGAGCTCATCGAGTCCAACCCCCTGCCAAAGCAGGTTCCCTACAGCAGGTTGCACAGGTCGGCATCCAGGCAGGTCTTGAACATCTCCAGAGAAGGAGACCCCACAGCCCCCCTGGCAGCCTGTTCCAGTGCTCCGTCACCTCACTGTAAAGAAGTTCTTGTGCACATTGGTGCAGAACTTCCTATGCTGCAGTTTCCAGCCGTTTCCCCTCATCCTGTCTCCACTCACCACTGAAAAGAGTCCGGCCTCGCCACTCTGCCCCCCACACCTTAGATATTTATAGACCTGGATCAGGTCCCCTCTCAGTCTTCTTTTCTCCAGGCTGAACAGACCCAGTTCACTCAGCCTTTCCTCATAGCAGAGATGCTCCAGGCCCCTCACCATCTTGGTGGCCCTCCGCTGGACTCTTCCCAAGAGATCCCTGTCTTTTTTTACTGGGGAGCCCAGAACTGGACGCAGTGCTCCAGATGAGGCCTTACCAGGGCAGAGCAGAGGGGGAGGATCACCTCCCTCGACCTGCTGGCCACGCTCTGTGCAATGCACCCCAGGATGCCATTGGCCCTCTTGGCCACAAGGGCACACTGCTGGCTCATGGCAACCTGTCGTCCACCAGGACACCCAGGTCCCTCTGTGCAGAGCTCCCCTCCAGCAGCTCATCCCCATCCTGTACCGCTGCATGCCATTATTCCTCCCCAGATGCAAGACTCCACACTTGCTTTTGTTGAACCTCATCCGGTTTCTTGCTGCCCAGCTCTCCAGCCTGTCCAGCTCTTGCTGAATGGCAGCACGGCCTTCAGCCAATCCTCCCAACTTCGTATCATCAGCAAACTTGCTGAGGGTGGCCATCTATCTTAGGATAGGACACGATCCTGAATGTGGTTCTGTGATGCTGTGCTCCCTCTGAGCTTTGTGGGCATCTCTGCATGTGCTCAGGGCTGATGTGAGGTGTCTGTAAGGCACTGCTGTTGGCAGTGGTAGCCAAATCACATTTCCTCTATCAGATATGCATGGAGATGTGGTGGGTGGCGATGAATGCGGCTGTGCCGTGTGAAAGCTGTTGGTTCTCCTCCAAAACCAGGAGTGGCAGTGGGGATTTGGGAGGCTGTGTGGTGGGGATGGGTTGATGGTTCGGGGTCTTTTCCAACCTCAGAGATTCTGTAATTCATGGGCATGAGGGGGATGGGTCGATGACCTTGGAGGTCTCTTCCAACCTTAATGACTCCGTGTTTCTGTAAGTTGATATTTTGGATCTGTGTGAGGCCAAGCTCGGCTTTTTCCTGATTTTGTTCTTTCTTTCCTTTTTTTTTTTAATTTAAATCCAGGTCCTGATGGAGACCCTGGGTGCCCTGGGGGCCCAATGCAGGTGGGCTGCATGCAACATCTACTCCACCCTCAATGAAGTGGCCGCTGCCCTCGCTGAGAGCGGTAGGAAATGTCGCCTGCTCCGCTTTTCCTGCTTTGAAAAGATTTCTGCCTGCCCCCTCGTATCGACAGGCCTTACATTCACTGACATTCTCACATGTTTGCTTATGTTCTCCTCTAGTTTTTTTAGTTATTATTATTATTGTCTTCTAAATGTAGAATAAACCCACAGGAGGGTGAAATTACTGTGCTTGGTTCTTTCCATTAGGGAGCGCACGCTGGGCGCAGTTCAGTTCTATATGAAGTCCAGTTCTGCAAAGAGAAGAAATTCTTACGTGTCAGCCATGGCTTTGGCTGCAAGGGGTGAGGGAGAACCTTCTGGGGCCAGCATTCACAAACCAGGAGCTGCTGGCGTCCACCTGGGAGATGCCTTAATTCCAATCCTGCTCTACCTGGGTAGATTTTCACCACTCCCCAGACGAATTGAGGAATGGTTTGGGTTGGAAGGGACCCGAGAGACCATTGAGTCGTGGAACGGTTGGGTTGGAAAGGTCCTTAAAGATCACAGAATCACAGAGTGGTTCCCACCTCCCTCTCTGTGCCAGGATTCCCCGTCTTCGCTTGGAAAGGAGAATCTGAAGACGATTTCTGGTGGTGCATCGATCGCTGCGTCAACGTGGAGGGCTGGCAGCCCAACATGGTGAGATGTCATGGCCGTGTTGGAGCTCCAAGAGGGAGCCCCCTTCTCAATGGGGCTTAGTGCATTTCCTCCTGGTTTTAGGCACAGCTTTGTCTTTGGTGGGGAAAAAAAGAGCAAATTTAGGGGAATCATTTACAGCTGCCAAGTGTGCAGTTTGCATTGTGATTTGTAGCCCTAGAGCTCGTGATCTAAATGAGACGAATAGTAATTAATGCGAGGAGACAGGCATGGATCCACACTGTTTGTTTGCCAGTCTTGGCTTGTTTGAGTTTCAGAAAGAATTGTGAAGGTCAAAAAGTCCACCCACAAGTTGTGAATCTCAGTCTAGACACAATATTGGCTTTTTTTCTTCTTTTTGAGGAGTAGTTTCCCATTGAAAATGCCACAAATTGATAAAGTGAAGCTAGGAGAACATGCACACCAATCCCAAAATATGAACCTCTGGTTTGGGAGCTCCACATCTTCAGAGACAATGCGATCAGATGGGAAGTTCTGTATGAAACATGCTCAAATAATGTAAAATAAGGGGAAAATTGGGGAGCATTCTGAGCTTGCATGGTTGGGCTGTGCATGGGTATCATGGGGCATGACACGCATGGATGGGGCTTGGCTACAAAGAAGGTCCTTCGAGGGAAGATTCGGGTGCAGCTTTTCTCCCTTTGTGCCTTGTTGGGGTCAGAAGGAATTGTCAGCGTGGCGACACCGCGGTTGCTTTTCTTCCAGATTTTGGATGACGGAGGAGATCTCACTCACTGGATCTACAAGAAATACCCCAACATGTTCAAGAAGATCAAGGGGATCGTAGAGGAGAGCGTCACCGGAGTGCACAGGTAAGGGGAGATGGCAGATGCACAAGGGACAGCCTTTGGAGAAAGCCAAAGGTTTGGGCCTGAGCTCTCTGGAAAGGAGTGAGATGTGGCAGAGGAAATTATGATTGCTTTGGGGTGGGATTGCAGACAGGGAGAGCTGCAGAGCTGTGGCTTCATCTCAGAGTCATCCTGAAATCAGGGTGCTGCTCAGATCCTCAAGAGTTTCTATTTGTCCCTCCAGATGCTCTCCATTCATCCTAGCAAACCAAAACACTGCAGAACACACCTGGACGTGTTTTGCACTGATCCTCTGCTTTTCCCTTATTTCTCACAGGCTCTACCAGTTGTCCAAAGCAGGGAAACTCTGCGTCCCAGCCATGAATGTAAATGACTCAGTGACAAAGCAGAAGTTTGACAACCTGTACTGCTGCAGGGAGTCCATCTTGGATGGGTATGTGCTGCTCTCTGTGCAGCTACACATAAACATCTGCACACTGGGCTTCAGAGTTCAAATGTTGTGCTTGTGGGAAAATCATCCTGCAGAAAATGGCATTTCTTCCTCTCCTTCTCTCTAATTTTCTTTCTTTTTATGGAATTGAGCGTCCGTCCCCCTAAATTTTGGCCCAACTTTGCCAAAGAGAGGTGAGGTGAGGACAAGTTGCCTTCCCGCAGTTCAGACGGTGCTGGATCTGGTGGTGCTTGTTGGAGGAGTTGGACTCCTCCTCGTGGGTTCCTGCTGGTTGGGATATTCTATGGTTCTGTGGTGATGATCCCAGCAGCTCAGTCAGCCCCAAACAAAGGAGAAGTTGGACTTCACACAGTGGCAGAGCTGCACCACGGATGATGAACTGAATACGTAGAAATGCAGGCACATCTCCTCCTGCTGAGCTGTGCTCACACTGCTACGCTCCCCTCTCACCTGGTAGCACCAGGGCATCTCAGAGCTCCAAAGTGGGCTTCTTGCTGACCACAACAGCATCTTTTTCCCAAATCTTTTGGAGCACCTCGTCCCTCATCTCGGCTTTGAAGCGGTCTTCTTGGTAGAGGCTGTTGTGACCAAAAGGGAAGAGGATCCATGTTTATAATACGTGTCCTGGTAAGAGGACGTGAAGGTGACCCTTGAAACGACTGCTGCTTCCCTGCACGATCGTGCAGTTTCATCCCCACAGTTCTGCATTTTGGAACAGCTGGTGCTGGATGTCATCTCCAGACAACTGGAAGAAAAGGAGGTGATCAGGAGTAGTCAGCATGGGTTCACCAAGGGGAGGTCGTGCTTGACCAACCTGGTGGCCTTCTGTGATGTTGTCTCTGGCTGGGTGGATTGGGGGAGAGCAGTGGATGTAGTCTGCCTTGATTTCAGCAAGGCTTTTGATACTGTCCCCCATGCCATCCTTATAACAAAGCTGTGGGATGGACGAGTGCACAGTGAGGTGGGTTGAGAACTGGCTGAGTGGCAGAGCACAGAGGGTCGTCGTTGGCGGTGCAGAGTCTGGTTGGAGACCTGTGAGCAGTGTTGTCCCCCAGGGGTCGGTGCTGGGTCCTTGTTCAACATCTTCATCATTGACCTTGATGAGGGGATGGCGGCCACCCTCAGCAAGTTTGTGATGATACGAAGCTGGGAGGATTGGCTGAAGGCCATGCTGCCATTCAGCGAGAGCTGGACAGGCTGAGAGCTGGGCAGCAAGAAACCGGATGAGGTTCAACAAAAGCAAGTGTGGAGTCTTGCATCTGGGGAGGAATAATGGCATGCAGCGGTACAGGATGGGGGATGAGCTGCTGGAGGGGAGCTCTGCACAGAGGGACCTGGGTGTCCTGGTGGACGACAGGTTGCCATGAGGCAGCAGTGTGCCCTTGTGGCCAAGAGGGCCAATGGCATCCTGGGGTGCATTGCAAAGAGCGTGGCCAGCAGGTCGAGGGAGGTGATCCTCCCCCTCTGCTCTGCCCTGGTGAGGCCTCATCTGGAGCACTGCGTCCAGTTCTGGGCTCCCCAGTACAAAACAGACAGGGATCTCTTGGGAAGCATCCAGTGGAGGGCCACAAAGATGGTGAGGGGCCTGGAGCATCTCTGCTATGAGGAAAGGCTGAGTGAACTGGGTCTGTTCAGCCTGGAGAAAAGAAGACCGAGAGGGGACCTGATCCAGGGTTATGAATACCTGAGGTGTGGGGGGCAGAACGGCGAGGCCGGACTCTTTTCAGTGGTGAATGGAGACAGGATGAGGGGAAATGGCTGGAAACTGCAGCATAGGAAGTTCTGCACCAATGTGCACAAGAACTTCTTTACAGTGAGGTGACGGAGCACTGGAACAGGCTGCCAGGGAGGTGGTGGAGTCTCCTTCTCTGGAGATGTTCAAGACCTGCCTGGATGCCGACCTGTGCGACCTGCTGTAGGGAACCTGCTTTGGCAGGGGGTTGGACTCGATGAGCTCTGCAGCTCCCTTCCAACCCCTACAGTTCTGTGATTCTGTGATTCTGTGACAGCTCTTCCTTCTAATGATGCCCCAGGGCCTGGCCAGAGGCAGCTGTGTCGCTGTGTCATTGGGGGCTCGGGTGCCTGGTGAGGAGTTGCTCCCAAGTTCTGAGTGTCTGAGGGCAGAGTTGTTATTTTGCTGCACCTTTCAGCAGGCTGAAAAGGTTGGAATCCTTAAACAGATTCGTTATTTCCTTGTGATTCCACGTTTCATTGATCGTCTCGATCGGGATGGGGGAAGGCTGGTCGTCTCAGCTGCGACAGGACGGGCACTGAGATGGGGCTGAGGGAAACCTGAGCCAAGGTGCAAGGAAACCTGCTGGAATTTTAATCTGAATTCCTCAGGAAGTGTGGGGGAATTTCACCTTCCCTGCACTGCTGACCTATTTCTGCACGCCAAAAATAGCCTGCGATGTAGGGCGCTCCTGGGGAGGAGGCAGAAGGAGAATGGGTGGGAGGGGGAGCTGTGCTGGGGGACAGCAGCGGGATTCTGGCAAGCAAATACCGCCTCTGCGTCTTCTGCAGGTGTTTCCATGAGACGTCGTGGCTTTTGTTAATAAAATGGGACACAAAGAAGATATTTTGGAAAAGATTTTAGAGATCTGAACTGAAAAATATGTATATGTGTCTGTGATCAAGCCCCAAATCTGTCCTCTTTGTTCCAATTCTCAGCACCCAAATTGGCCAAAGGGGAAACTCCCATGTGGGAATAGAAACGATTCCTGTTCCTGCTGCTGGAGTTTAATTCTTTGTTTCTGTTTCCTTAGCCTGAAGAGGACAACAGACATGATGTTTGGAGGGAAGCAGGTGGTGGTGTGTGGCTATGGGGAGGTAAGGGCTTCCGCTGCCCAGACGAGGGCTCTCCTTGCGAGATGTGCAGCAGAAACCAAACCTGAGCTTTAAGATGTGTCACTGCTCCACGCTCAGTGCATGAAAATACCAACAGTGAAATGTTAAGGGACACAAAAATACCTGCGGTGGCAACGACCCGGGGCTGAGCTCTGTGGGCGCACAGCTGTAGCGATGTGTGCTGAAAGCTGCTCAAGAAATAGAAGCGAGGTTTGCCTTATTGATGTGTTTTCACCCTCAGATGGAGGGATCCTCCTGAGAAAGCAGTTCCACTTTAGGGAGGCGTTGGTCCTTATCAGCACTGCTGCGTTCCCTGCGGTACGGGGGGCTGACCCTCAGGGATGGAACTGTGACACCTCCTAAACAGAGCAGAGGTTGTGCAGAACCCTGGCATGTCCCCTGAGATAAATGTCATCTCTTGGTGTTGTTTGTCCTTCTGGACACAAGGACGACTTGGGGGAGGGAGGGTAAAGAGCTCTCAGAAAGCCAAATAATCAGCACTGTCATGTCTTCAGCTTCGAGCCGAGCTGCAGCCCGACCCACGTCCTACATTGCTCCAAACCTGAGAATGTTGGGCAACCTGAGTTTAGCACTTGTCTATTTTTTTGTGCCTCTTCTACCTTCCCGTGCCCCAAATCTGGGAATCCTGCATGCCTCCAAAGTCCCTCATCTTCCTCCTCTCCCTCCCAGGTGGGCAAGGGCTGCTGCGCGGCGCTGAAGGCCATGGGCTCCATCGTCTACGTGACTGAGATCGATCCCATCTGCGCCCTGCAGGCCTGGTAAGCACCCGGCCTCCCTCCTTTCTGGGGATGTTCTGCAGGAAAATTGTGCACGAAGCAGTGGGAAGCGCTTGCAGGATGTTTGGGTTTGACCACCCTCCATAAGCAGAATGTCTGCGTTTCCATCACCATCACCTGCAGAATTTGGGGGTATGACCTCCAAAAGGGATTTGCAGCGGGAAGAAGCAGGAATTGGGACAAGCTGAGAGATAAGAGTGGGGAAAAAAGAAAATAATTGTACAGTAACTGCGATTTTGTAGCTCAGCAGAGACAGAAATAAGCTCTCAGGGGAACGGCTGACAAATCCTCCAAAGTCCTGCCCTGGTTCTGCCATGTGCAGAGCGCACCTTCCTCAGTGAAACAAACAAAAATGGGCATTTTTGGATGCTGAGTTTGCAACAGAAGGGTGTGAAACCCCCAAAATCCACTTTTTAGTATCACATCTTGCGCAGGAGACCCGAATCTCTATGCTTCACCCCAGAAGTGCTTGGGGCACGGTGTTGCTCAGCGCTCCGTGTTGGCTGTCGTGCCGTGTTAAGAGGTTAAAATGAGTTTTTTATGAGAGGTTTTTTTTTTCCTCTGTTTTTTGGCACATTTGTTGTTGCTTTTCCCACGACCTGTTTTTTTTTCCCTCTCAGCATGGATGGGTTCAGGCTCGTGAAGCTCAACGAAGTCATCAGACAGGTGGACATTGTCATCACCTGCACAGGTACGCGGCGCTGGGGTGGGCAGACGAGCACCCAGCTCTAAAGGAAAGGGCAGAAAATGGGCAAAGTCACACCCATAATTTGCGTTTTTGTGCCTGCTGATATTTCTGCATTCTCTTTTCACAGGCAACAAGAATGTAGTGACCAGGGAGCACCTGGACCGGATGAAGAACAGCTGCATCGTCTGCAACATGGGGCACTCCAACACTGAGATCGATGTGGTGAGCGCTGCGTAGCACAGGGTGGGTTCTGCGGGGCCGTGGGGAGCTCCTGGCCCCACTTCAGCGTGAGATATTGAGTAAAATAACCCACCCATCCACTGCACGGCACTGCCAGGAATCCCACAGGATGTCTGTGGTCTTTAAGGACCCTTCTAACCCAACCGTCCCATAGCTCTACAATCTTTAAGGACCTTTCCAACCCGGCCGTCCCGCGGTTTTATGATTCTTTGACCATTTGCTTGCTGTCTTTCAGGCAAGCCTGCGCACACCGGAGCTGACCTGGGAGCGGGTGAGGTCCCAGGTGGACCACGTCATCTGGCCAGATGGGAAGCGAATAGTGCTGCTGGCGGAGGTGAGAGGCACGGAAAGCGACCGCCTCCCGCTGCAGGAGCGTGGGGAGACCGTGCCTCGCCCCAGGAGGGAGGCACAGCCTCAGGATTGGGTGCTTTTCCTCCCCAGGGCCGCCTGCTGAACCTGAGCTGCTCCACGGTGCCCACCTTCGTGCTGTCCATCACCGCCACCACGCAGGTGAGTGGGGTTGGGGGGGGGCTCAGCCCGTAGCACGCGGCGCTGACTCACCGAGCGTCCCCTCCATGCAGGCTTTGGCTCTGATAGAGCTGTACAATGCTCCCGAGGGCCGCTACAAGCAAGACGTGTACCTGCTGCCAAAGAAAATGGGTAAGGACGTGCTGGTTGCCTTCTCTTGTTCTTTATTTCCTCACCAGTGTTGAGCAAAGAGGTTTTGCCGTGCTGGGCATCATCCTCATCCGTCCTCACCCTCATCCTTGTGGCCCAGGGCTAATGGAGGTGCTGTTGGACACTTCACTTCTCCAGACCCAAATCTGGAAGTTGGAAGAGGCGCAGCTCAACAGCCTCATTTTGATACATTTGATATATATATATTTTTTTGAGCTTTGAGGCTCCTCTCTCAATCTGTCTCAATTCCGACAGCGAGTGTTTATGGGACATGGAGTGCTTCCAAGATATGAATGCTTTGAGAAGGTCAGGGGGAGGGCAGCTTCTGTCTGGGCTGCAGAACAGCTTGCCCAAAGGTTTGTTTTTTATCAAAGAAAAGGACAAAGCCACTTCATACCGCAGCAGCAAAGGCGAATCTCTGCCGTTCCGGCATTCGTGCTGCGACGCTTTGTGAAACTGTCAATGCTTTGTGCAGGGGATGGGCGGTGGGAGCTCTTTGCCTCTTTCAGAAGAGCTGCAGGGAGCTGTGCTTCGAGCTCTGCTCTCTCTGCTGCTCGTCGCTCAGAGCTGTGCTCCGCTCGTTGCTTGGAATATTTCAGATGAGTACGTGGCGAGCCTCCACCTCCCGACATTCGACGCGCACCTGACAGAGCTCACGGACGAGCAGGCCAAGTACCTGGGGCTGAACAAGAACGGGCCCTTCAAACCCAACTACTACAGGTGCAGCTCCTGTCGGCCACGGAACTGCGGAATCGTGGAATGGTTGGGTTGGAGGGACCTTACAGCTCATAGGATTGAGTTGGGTTGAGTTGGGAGAGTCCTCAAAGCTCCTGGACCTCGTTGGGTTGAAGGAACCTTAGAGACTGTAGAACCGTGATTGGGTTGGAAGGGACCCCAACGTCCCAGCGCTGCTGTGGGCTGGGTGCCCCCCAGCTCAGGCCGCCCATGGCCCCATCCATGGCCTCAGGCACCTCCAGGAATGGTGCACCCACAGCTTTGGGCATCAGTGCCAGGGCTGTATCACCTCTGGCTGAAGGATTTCCTGTCCTCAGTCTTGCTCAGAGCAGTTCCCTGTTGTTCTGTCACCATCTGTCCATGTACAGATGCACTCTCCTCTGTTCCTGAGTTCCTCCAAGTTCCTCTCCAGGTCTCCCCAGCACCTCACTCCTGCCCTGGTTGCACCCAGGCTGAGGACTCCCTGCATGGCAGCTATTCCCTCTGCAGTGCCCCTGGGCAGCTCTCAGGCAACCAGGTTATTTTTGAAGCCTGACGCAGCGGGGCTGGCGCTCAGCAGCGCTTGGGCTCACACCAGAGAGGAGGCACTGAAAAACCCCACATTTCTGTGGGTCAGTTCTCCCTCCAGGCTGAGGATTTGGGGTGGTGACTCCGCACACACACACACGCAGTGTAACCAAAGCCACCCAACCCAAAAGCCAATGTGGACTTGTCCAAAATTTCCCCTCTGTTTCTGATAAGTTCTGCTGCTCTAAGCCAGGTTCGGGTGCTGGAGGTGGCAGTGCAGCTCCCTGTGCCCTGAGCTGATCCCAACCCACAGCCCTGTTGGCGCCGCTGATCTTCCCCTTCCCTCCCCCGGACTAAAAATATCTCCGAATTCCGAGGGAGGAGACAGGACCTGGCTCCTTCCAACACCATTTCAGCCAACACCAGGTGTTGGATGCACTGGTTCCTGTGGCTCCCTTCCAACTCAGGACATTCTATCATTTTCTTAGTGTCCAGTCCAAAATCTCACCGTTTCTGTGTGCCGAACCCTGGTTTTCTCTCTTTTCCAGGTATTAAGTTCCTGCCGCTGTCGCCACGAGGAACAGAACCCAAATCCTTTCTCAACTACTGTACAGGATGAAGCAGCGCAAGCTTGCTACGCTCGAGCCGGGCTTGCTCTCGTAGTAGACCGTGTGTTAGGTTATTTATTTATTGAATTAGAGTTCTGTGCGCGGCTCTGCCTCGTGTTCGTGCTGCCGCGGACTGGGAGACGCTCCGTTTCTTTCCCTTCGTTTCGTTTCTCTCTTTGTGGTCGTTCCCATTCGGGGCTGTGTGAGGATGAGGGTGAGGAAGGAGCCGATGGGGTGGGGACTCCGCTGCGCTGCGCTGCTGCTCCGTTCCCAGTGCCAAGCTTTGCCGTGAACCAAAGTTTCCTTCCTGCTGCTCGCGTGGTTCCGAATCACGGCCGGAGCGCGACGGCCGACGGCACCCACGTCAGCTCCTCTGCAGCCTCGTTGGGAACACGCAGAGTCTGATTTCCCGGTGACGTTCCTCCATCACATCCATCAAACCTCCTCTGGGCGGAGGAGCCGCCTGCGCCCCGTCGGCGTCCAGTTGGGAACTGCCGTCATTCCGCGATGGAGGTTGGCCAACTGTTGGCCACAAAGCGGAGCTGCAGGGCTGGTGTCCCAGCACCCCTCGTCCCTTAGGCACCGCTCGATCCACCTGAAGATTCCTTCATCCACCTCTGGCCGCTGCCTGCTGCAGCTCCTCGCCGTGTCCTCGCCGTCACTCACGCACAAGAGAGGAGGAGCTGTGGAAGCGCGGCCCCGCAGCCGCGTCCTGCAGCCAGCAGTTCTCCCTGCTCCACAACTGTGCCCAGATCGGAGATTTTGGGAAGAGTCCGCGGAGCTGTTGGATGTTTTATGCTGGGGGCAGCGCTGGGCCGAGCGTCTGTCCAGGAAGTGTTCCTGCACTGAGCTTCCCAGCGCCGAGCGTCCCTACGTGGCTCAGTTTCCTGGTGCTGAGCATCTACACACTGGGCACCCCAACGTGGAGCCTGGCACCCCAAAATGGAGCTCAGCACCCCAAAATGGAGCTCAGCACCCAACTTGGATCTCTGGACCCCAGCATGGAGCTCTGGATCCCCACATGGAGCACAGCACCCAACAAAGAGCTCAGCACCCAACTTGGATCTCTGGATCCCCACATGGAGCTCATGCCCCCAAATGGAGCTCAGCACCCCAAAATGGAGCTCAGCACCCCAACAAAGAGCTCAGCACCCAACAAAGAGCTCAGCACCCAACAAAGAGCTCAGCAGCCAGCACGGAGCTCAGCACCCCACACTGAGCTCACCGCTGCCCCAGGATCATCTCTCCCGGCGGCCGTGCCGATTTCTAAGCCCTGATTTACCTTCATTTCTCTTCCAGGTGATAGGACAAAAAAAAAATAATCAAAAAAATTACCCCCCCAAAATGGCCCCACCTTTTCCCACCTCTATTTTTAAAGTCCTTCTCCGTGTCATTCTGCTTCTCCTGTCAGCTTTTCCGCTTGCTTGGCTTTTCCTAATCAATCTGGAATTATAATATTCTGTGATCATCTCTAAATTAAAACGTGTAATTTTTTTTTTCTTCTTCTTCTTTTTTTTTTTTTTCTTTTTTTAACGTAACACATTTTTAAAGAATTAGGAAAAGGAGATTTAGGTAACACCAGCAAAATCGCATAAGGAAAATAATTCAGTTCTGATCTTTAGAAACAAATGAGACAAAACCCATCATCGTCAGCTGCAGAGAGGGCAGCAAAACTTGGAGAACATTTTCAAAAGGATGTTTTAATTATTGATGTCTGAGTGATTGTATTAGAGCAGCAATAAAGACTCTGTAATCTCAAAACGGAAATAAAACATTGGAAAACCGACGTGCTCCAGAATTGGGGATGAGGGATGGGATGCGATGGAGGTGAGGAGTGGGATGGGGTCGGGATGGGAGTGGAGTCAGGGTTGGGCTTGGACTTGGAATGGGGAAGGGGATGGGGATAGAGTTGGGTTGGGATAAGGCTGGGATGGAAATGAGAATGGATGGGATGGGATTTGGGTTGGGATGGGATGGGGATGGGGATGGGATGGGATGGGATGGGATGGGGATGGGATGGGATGGGATGGGGATGGGATGGGATGGGGATGGGATGGGATGGGGATGGGACCCCAACCCCCGTCTGGATGTGGCAAATATTTGTTGTATGGCACCAGTGTGGGGTCACTGCCCTCCCCTCCACCCACTGCCTCACTGACAGCCTCCAGCTCCACCCTACAGAGTCACCCCACAGCCGCCCCCCCCCCCCCCACCGGGGCCCCCCCCCCCAGCACCCCTTGTTCCCGGTATCCTTCGTCTCAACGGTGCCCCCCCTACACCCCAACACCCCCATAGACCCCACCCCACCCAATAGCAGGACGGGGTGAGGAGGTGTGTCCCCCCACAAGCCCCGCCCCCTCCACGGAACAGCCAATAGGAGCGGGGGGGCGGGGCGCGAGGCGCTGCCCCCACGTGCGCGGAGGGGCGCGGAGGGCGCAACGCATGGAGGAGGCGGCGGGGGGGGCACCGAACCCGAACCCCAACGTGGGAAGGGCCCGAATGGGGCAGCCTGCAGCGCAGCCCCCCGCCAAGGGCCGGGAGCTCTTCAGGGGACAGCGGAAGGAGTCCGAGGTGGGGACGGGGAACACAAAATGGGGCTGGGAGCGCTGAGGAGCTGCGGGTGGGGAGGGGGGGGGTCGGTTGTTCTGTGGGTGCGTGCTTCCATCCCACAGGCACGGGGAGTCCGGGGGGGTCCTGGTCCCGGGGGGGGTTCCCTGAACAGTCCCCAGGGTCACAGCGCTGGTTATCCCAGTTGTGTCGTGTCCCCCCCGCACCCCAATGCCCCCCCAGAGCCCGTGGCTGCTCCCCGCACCCCGACAGCCGGCGCAACGGCACCGGGGGACCCTGAGCCCATCGCTGCGGAGCAGCCATGACCCACAGCGGGCTCCTGTGCTGGGTGCGCCGGGGCTTCACTCCCCCCTTCGTGGCCCCCCTGATCCGATTAGTCCCGAATTCCTTCTGGGATTTAGGATCCCGAAGGGGATCCGCAGCCCTGGGCTGCAAAAACGGGGCGAAAAAAGCGGAGTTTTGGTGCAGAGCGCTCAGCCCCGTGCTGCGCATCTCGGGGGTACCCATAGGAATGGGGCCGATGCACCTCGCTCCGCCCCACAGCCAGAGGAGAGCGATGGAAGTGCCATCCACGACCCATTCAAGCGTTCCCTCCCTGGGGTTTCACGCTCCAGTTCCGCTCCCGCTGCGGGAAATGGGGGAAGCGGGGTGGCGATGGGGAGGGGGGGGGTCTGCAGACCTGGGGAGGGACGCAGGGAGAAGGGACAAGCCTGGAATTTAAGCTGGAAGGAACTGGGGAGCACAGGTGGGGCTGTGTGGATGCGTGCATGGGGCTGTGAGCTGGATGGAAGCCATGGATTTCAGACGGGAAGGACTGCGGTCCGCGCGCGGGGCTGTTGGCAGGGTAAAAGCTGCGGGTTTACGTCGGGATGAACGGGGATGCGTGAATAGGGCTGCGTGCAGGATGCAAGCCGTGGATTTAAAGCCGGGAGGTTTTGGGCTGGGGAGAAATGGAGAGCACGTGTGGAGCTGTTGGCAGGGCGCAAGCCATGGATTTGAGCGTGCACGGGGCTGTTTGCAGCCAGGGCTCGCTGCTATTTTTACGCACCACTTCCAAACACGCAGGGCTCTGTGGATTTCCCCACCGTGGAGTTCGAGTACGGGGACACCGACAGCCGTGGCGCAGAGCTGGCAGGTGGGGCTGTGGGGTGGCAGCATCCTGGTAATGAGAGAGAGGAGGGTTTAATTAACGGGGGGGTTAATGACATAGGAGCATAGGGAATGTATAGGAAACAGTGTAAAACCCCAAATCCTGGAGCTGTTTGCGAAATTACTGGGCAAAATGACTCTCCAAAAAATTCCTATGTCACTGCAGATGCAGTGGGGCAGTGGGGGAGGGGGAGAGGGGGGAAGTTCCCCTAGGAGTGGCTGTAGGGTTCCTGCATGGCTCTGGGTCCCAGTTTTTATGTCACACTGGAATATCCATGCTGTTCCCATTGCATTCCCATCCCAGTTTTAGAACTCCCTTGGGCATCCTAAACCCATCCTGTTTGATCCCATTTCGCAGAGCTCAGGGACATTGAGATATCAGCACTGTCCCCATTTGCCCCATGAGCAACCACCAGGAGAGCTGCTCTGAGGCTCTGGCTCCCATTTGGGTTATATCAGATTTTAATGCCACGCTGGGATATCTGCAGTGTTCCCATTGCCCCATGGCAACGTGAAATGGGACTGAATGGATGGATGTGGAAGCGTTGAATGGAAGCCCAGTGCCCAGTGGAGCTTCCAAAGAGAGCTCCAGAACAAGGCTGGGGTTCTGCTCCATATCTTGGGCACATAGGAGGAATTTGGTGGTGATAAGAGAGGTGAAAACCCTTCCGGTAACGGCTGACCCTGTTCCAGCAGAGCTGTACAGCTACACCGAGGAGCCCGAGCTCAGCACCAACCGGCGATGCTTCGAGGAGGAGTTTTGCCCCCAAGGTATGGGCTCTGTGTTCAGTGCCCCATGGCACAGGGCTGCCCCACGGCCCACACATCGCTCTGTGCCCTCTGCAGCGCGGGGCCGGCAGTGGCCGGAGCTGGACACAGCGCAGCAGAGGGCCCAAATCCTGCGGCTGCTGGAGGGGCTGGAGGTGGTCAGCAGGGAGCGGCGGCTGCGGGCGGCACGGGCCATCCTCTACCTGGCACAGGGTGAGCACCAGGCCCAGCTCTGTCCCAGAAGGATCCTGAGGGGTCACAGGGCAGCATTCGCTGACCACATTCCTCCCTGGGCCTCCCCAGGAGTGTTTGGAGACTGTGAGAGCGAAGGCGATGTCCTGCACTGGTCACGGCACAACAGCTTCCTGCTGTACCAGCTGGGCACCTTCAGCGCCTTCCTGGAGCTGCTCAGCATGGAGATCGAGTGAGAGGGCGCCGCAGCTCCCACCTTCCTCACCCTCCTTTTCATCCTATTCTCCTCCGCAGCCTCCTCTTCATCTCAGTCTTTTTTCCATCCTCATCTTCCTCTCTTCCTCATCCTTCATCTTATTCTTTCTCCCCATCCTTCACCTTCTTCATCTCATTCTCATCTTCCTCACCCTTATCCTTCCTCACCCTTCATCTTATTCCTCTTCATCATCCTTACCCTCTTCATAATATTCTCATTCTCCTCACCCTCTTCTGTCTTATTCTCCTCATCTTCTTTGCCCTTGTCTTCATTCTCCTCACGCTCTTCATCTTATTCTCGTCCTCCTCTTCTTCATCTCCTTCCTTCTTTGATCCTCCTCCACTCTCCTCTTCTTCACCTTATTGTCCTCATTCTCCTCCTCCCTCTCATCTTATTCTCCTCACCTTCTTCGTCTTCCTCTCCTCCCTGTCCTCCTCACTCTCCTCATCTCATCCCTTCTCCTCGTTCTCCTCCCCGACCACCACGGCTGTATTTTGGGAGTGGGCTGGGGATGAGGAGCCGCCCCGCTGAGCTCTTCCCCTTCCCCACAGCAACAGCCAGGCATGCAGCAGTGCGCTGCGGAAGCCAGCCATCTCACTGGCCGACAGCACCGAGCTCAGGTACCCGTGGTGGCACTGGGATCCGCTGGGGACAATGGCTGGGGACCACGTGTCACGTCCCCACCGCGCTGTCCCATAAGGGTGCTGCTCAGCGTCATGTACCTGCTGGTGGAGAACATCCGTGTGGAACTGGAAACGGATCCCCCAGAGTGGAAATCCTGCCGGGAGACCTTCAGGACAGAGCTGAGTGAGCCACGGGGGTCACGGCATCCTTCGGTGGGGACAGCCCTGCGATGGGGACGGCCCCAAGCTCACTCCTGCTCCCTCCCTGCCAGGTTTCCCCATGCGCTCCGATGAGCCCTTCGCTCTCTTGCTCTTCACCATGGTGACCAAGTTCTGCAGCGGCCATGCTCCACATTTTCCTATGAAGAAGGTCTTGCTCCTGCTCTGGAAGGTGCTCCTGGTGGGTGCCCAATTTCCTTTTCCAGGCACTGGGAATGCAGGGGATGGTGGTGGATGCAACCCAGTGCTTAATCCGAGCACAGTGGGGCAACGTCATCGAGCTGTAGATGTCCTTGTCATCGCAGTTGGAGTGGGTGACCTCTCAAGGTCCTTTCCGACTCCAACCATTCCGTGATTTAGGATGGCACAAGGTGAACGATTTCTTTTGGGATTTCTGGGATGCAGGGTGCAGAAGAAGGCTGGAGAAATGCTGTGCTTTCTTCCTTCTCAACTCCCCACTTTGATAACCTCCACCTAGAAGCTCCGAATTGCTGCGCAGCCCTGGGGCTCATCCCCTCCCCACTCTGCCACCTCTCTCCTTGGTCCCTAGTTCACGCTGGGAGGATTTGAAGCCCTGCAGATGATGAAGGTGAGGAGGAGGGAGGAGCTTGGGCTGCCACCCCTGCCCGAGGACAGCATCCAGGTGATGCGCAGCATGCGTGCCGCCTCACCGCCCACCTGCTCCATTGAGCTGGCTGAGCAGCAGCAGAAGCGTGGGCACCGCAGTCGGCGGGTAAGGGCTCCTCCTTGGGCATGGCCAACCCTTCTCCAACGGGTTTGATCCCATTTTCCTCCCCCTTTTCTAAGCATTTTTCATCTCATAAAAGCTGAAAAATAAAAAGCTGCTGCAGATCAGCCCTGTGAAGCACTCAAGATGGAGGAAGCGAGCAGACAGCCCTGACCCTATGGCAAAGGGCTGATAAGCGCTGAGACCAAAGTGCTTGCAGCAAACTTGTCTTTTTTTAGCTCAGTTCCTGGTGTTGTGGTGGTGTGGTCAGAGGATGAAAATGCTTCTTTTGCTGGGGGGGGATGTTGGGTGGTAGCCCCAATAATTAAAACAGAAAAGGAGGTGACAGAGAGTTTGTTGTACAGAGAGGGATTGTTTCTTGTCCAGCGCTCTGGTGGCAGCCAGAAGGGAAATTCTCACCCAGGGCACATCTGGGAGTTCAGCCCTTTAGGATGGAGATGTCAGGAGCTGTTGGCTGGGAGGAAACTGGAATCCATGGTGTGACATTGATTTCTCCATCCGCTTCTGCTGCAGCCCCTGATGAAGCAAGACAGCCTGGATATCTACAACGAGAGAGACCCCTTCAAGAATGATGAAACAGGAGTTGATGAAGAGGAGGGTGATGAAGTGGATGGTGGGATCGAGGGGGAGCTGGACCTGATGGAGCGGGATGCTCTCCTCCCTACCATACCAGCCCAGCGCCCTCCTATTGAACGGGTGTCGTTCCCCAAAGGGCTGCCCTGGGCCCCCAAAGTCAGGTAGATTGTGGGGTGTCATTGCCATCCTCCCTAGCCCTAGCCAAGTGTGGCCAGGGCTGGCCAATGCATGGAAATGCCATGTGGGGAATCCCAGGTGCAATGGGAAGGGATAGGGAGCGTGGGCTGGGAGCTTTCCCAGCCAGCTGCAATGGGTCTAGGTAGGGCAGTGCCCTGGGTTAATTGCGGTTAATGAGCATGGCCCTTATGCACCGAGTGGGACTCGCGTGTGGCCAAATGAAATCTTCTTGAGGGGCCTTGTGTAGAGGGCGAGAAACAGGAGAAACACGGCGCAGCATGAAGGATTGGTGCTATCCCTTCCAAGGCCAGTTCTGCTACGTATGATATGGGGGTGGAAAAGAGGGTGAAATCCTCAGTCCCATCCCTCAAATCCACGTGAGCTTTTTGCTGCTGATCTCATCCTGTGAAACACAGGAGCACACACGATGCCATTCCGCTCCATGTCAACATGCTCAGCTCTGGTTTTGGTTCACATTGTTCCCAACCAATGTGAGCAATGGTGGCTGTAGTCAGCAGCTATGAATACCTCTAGAAATTGATCCTAGAAAGCTAAAAGTTTCTTGTCCTGCACCATGCTCTTTCTTAGCAGTTCAGATATATGTGCGTTTTCCTCCTTGTTTTCATTTCTCTGCTGCTCCATCAGGCAGAAGGACATTGAGCATTTCCTGGAGGCAAGCAGGAACAAATTCATCGGCTTCACTCTGGGACAGTGAGTGTCACGTGTGAGGGGCCACCAGAGCCTGTCCCCCAGCTCCCCTCGGTGCCATTTATCTGCCAGCAGGCGTCCACAGAGACTGGGCTGTGTGTGGAATGTGTGATGTTCGTATGTGATAGAAGTGCCCCACATCTCCTCTCCAGTCTTGCAGTCATAGAATTATTAAGGTTGGAAAAGGCCACTAAGATCATCAGGTCCAACCATCAACCCATCATCACCATGTCCCCAGGTGCCACATTGCATGGTTCCTTTTGGAGAAGAAATTGTTCCTAGTAACCTGAAGGACCCCTGTTGCAATTTAAGGGCATACCTCCCATATTATCTCATCCTAGCCTTGTATTTACCTTCTGCCTTCCCCTCCAGGGACACTGAGACCCTGATAGGGCTGCCACGGCCCATTCATGAGAGCGTGAAGACACTGAAGCAGGTGAGACAATGGCTCTAAGATGGGATCAGACCAATGGGGATCTCAGAGAAATGAGGGAATCTTTGGCCAAGATCACCATGGCCATAGAGAGACTGCAGGGCATCGAGTTTCATATGCAGCAGCTTTGATGATGCATCATTCACAAAAGGTTTGGAGTTGCTTATGTGCGTGCTGTCAGCCCACAGTAAAGGTCTGATGGAGATTCAGTCCTCAGCAAGCTCAGCAAATGCTGTCGTTGCTTGGTGTTGCATCCTGTAGTTGTATCATTGCTCTGCCTCTGTGTATTTTGCCAGCACAAGTACGTTTCCATCTCAGATGTCCAGATCAAGAATGAAGAGGAGCTGGAGAAGTGCCCCATGTCTCTGGTAAGATGTGCTCCCCATCACTACGTGGGCACAGGGAAGAGATGCCACAGAAACCTGTACCTTCTGGTCACACCTCCAATGCTCTCAAACACCACATCGTGACCCAATCGTTAATTCCAATCCCCTAGTTGATAATTGAGGAGATAATAGGGAGATAATTGACATATCTCAAGTGTGCAGACCAGAAATACTTTTTTTCCCCCTTGTTTTTAATGTTTCCCTGTGCTAGGGTGAAGAGGAAGTCCAAGAAACCCCTTGTGAGGTCTTGTATCGAGCCATGCTATACAATCTCCCCCAGTATATGGTAAGCCTGTGTTTCTTAGAAATAAAATAGAGTCTGTGGGTGTTTGGGATCTGAACGCTGGGATTTTGGTGGGAATCCAGAGCAGAGCTGGGTAGAAAGTCATCTCCGAGAGGAGGGTTCCATAGGATCAAGGGGGGCAGATAACCAGGAGCATGGTCCAGTCTTTGGAGATAGGACAGCGGGCATCCCTTCCGGCTTTCCTATGGCTTCAAGAGATTCCCACACAGTACAATTTAAAAAATTCAAAATTCAGCTGTGTTAAGGTGCTTTTTGGGCACCTACAGTCTATCTGTAGGGAGAGACAAACATTTAAACACATTAAGCTGCAGCACTTTTATCCGTACCACTAGAGCTCAGTGCATCAACTCAATACAAAAGGTGAGCTGCCCTGCTGCCTGCAGTTGGGTACAGAAGGAGAGCTGAGCGTTGGCATAGCTGGCCCATCACCATGAGGGGACCTTGGGCTGGTGGAACCTTCTAGAGCTGGCTTGAAGTTGTCCAGTCTCAAGGAAAAGGAAGGGATTCCATTCCTCCTTTGCCTCCACACTTGCCTCCTCTGCAGATCGCTCTGCTGAAGATCCTCCTTGCTGCAGCACCCACCTCCAAGGCCAAGACTGACTCCATCAACATCCTAGCAGATGTCTTGCCTGAGGAGATGCCGTAAGTCCTCAAGGAAATACCTCCAGCTGTTTCAGCCTTGGACCAAGTAGGAAAGTTGGGGGTTGCAAAGAGGTTCAGGGGGCCCCAGAGGTGGGCACGGAGCTCCAGATGTGGGGATGGCCGCATGGTCCAAGGGATGTGGGTCAGTGATGGTCCCATCAGGTTGATGGTTAGCCTTCATCTTCCTCCACTGCGCCAGCATCACCGTCCTGCAGAGCATGAAGCTGGGGATTGATGTGAACAGGCACAAGGAGATTATCGTGAAGAGCATCTCGGCGCTGCTGCTGTTGCTCCTCAAGCACTTCAAGCTGAACCACATTTACCAGGTGAGCACCGAGGAGGCACGGTTGGTGCTCATGGGGTTGGTGCATCCTTACAGGAGCTCTCCAGGAAACGTTTCCAAGAGGAGCTGTGGACTGTAGGGATGAACCCTAGCCCTGGGACATGATTTTCAGAGTGTTACTCATGCAGAAATAACCTGCCTGCAATACATCTTTGGCTGTGTGTTGACAGGGTGGTTTCCACTCATGTGGAAAGAGCTCTCGGATTTGTGGAAGAACACATGCTGTGGTTAATCAGGTTAGAATTCTGGAGATCTCGGGAGAAAGAGCCTCTCCTGGCAGCGGGGTGGGGAGGAGTTAGGGAGATCCCTCCTGCTCTGCCCAACCTCCATGACGAGCAGTGGGGCTGGGCAGGACTCATGAGCTCCTCAGCAGGGTTGAACTCTCAGGGCTCTGGTTTCAGTAGAACCAGCTCAGGGTCCTAGATGCAGTTTGATTTGTGTTAAAATTTTTCTTTTTTTTTTTTTCCTTTTTTCTTTCTTTCCTTTTTTTCTTTTTTTAATTTTCTTTTTTAAAGAGGTTTCTCTGTGATACAAACCCATGCATGCTGTGACATGGGAGGATTAACAGAAATCCATGTATTGGATTGGATTGGATAGAATAAAAAAAAAATACATTTTTTTCCAATCTTACCTTTGTTCCACGTTCCCCTGTATCCCAGTTTGCATTCAGTCCCTTTTTTCACACCAAAGCAGCTCCTGGCATTTCTTCTCCTGCGTGGCAGCACTCCTGCAGACCACTGTTAGGTCTGGAGAAGGTGTGTTGTTGGGTTTCGTTAATTTTTTTCCCATTAGTTCTGATTTTGGGTTAGATGTCCAAGCTTCTCAGGCTGCTGGCTGCTCTTTGTGATGCTGATCTGTGCAAACTGGTCTAGGGAGTCTGCTTTAGCAGAGGGGTTGAAATAGATGATCCTCTGAGGGCCCTTCCAGCCCCTACATTCTGTAGAAGCCAGAAGGGAAGTTACCCCATATCTTTTGTAGTAGTTAATCTCCTCCTTTTCCTTCCATATAGAATATTTTCCAACAGCTTTTACCTTGAAAGGCGACCTGCAGTCGCTGAGTGCACCTCTTCCAAAGTCTTGCCATGAAATTCTGCATGGCAATGCACTTTCCCAGCTGCTGGGAGTCATTGTATGCGATGCAAGCCTTATACACAGCAGACTTGTGCACAAGATGGTCTGCCAGGTTCAGAGCAAACCATCCCAACTGGAAATGGCAATTCCCAGCACGTGCTTCCAGTTGTTCCCGTTGATGCTGACCCGTTTCGCTTCTCTCCCCCAGTTTGAGTACGTGTCCCAACATTTGGTGTTTGCCAACTGCATCCCGCTGATCCTGAAGTTCTTCAACCAAAACATCATGTCCTATATCACAGCCAAGAACAGGTACAGCTCGTACACTGTGTGGCACTGAACCTTCTCCATGCCAGATGCTTTCCCCAAAAAAACCCCATTTATATATATGAATAAAATGTACGTGTAGAGTACATTTTATTATTACACACATATGTTATATATTAGATATGTGTACATTTGAGGGTTTTTTGGTTAGCTACTCTTACAAAGGCAGTAGACCCAGAAGGCTTGGAAATCTTCTTGGGCAAGACTCGATGCCCTTGCCACGCATTATCTTGCTGATAATATTCTTGCTGTCAGATATTTCCATTTTAATCTAAAATTTGCTTTTTGTATGAGTGATTTTTTGTTTTTTTTTTTGTTTGTTTTTTAATATGCACACAAATAACTGATCTGCCATGTCCTGATGGATCCACTTCCTCCGCGTCCCCACTAATGCATGCCTGGGAGCAGGGAGGGCTCCGCTCGTTAGGCCCACGTGCCGACTGTCCTTAATGAGTCTGTTCTTTCTCATCTTCCACAGCATCTCTGTCCTGGATTACCCACACTGTACAGTCCACGAGTTGCCTGAGCTCACTGCAGAAAGCCTGGTAAGCAAAGCAGAGCACTTGTGACAGTATTGCTCTATGCAGGCGGGCGAGGAAGGATTTTTCTTTTATTCCTTGTGTTCTTTGCATCCAGCCAGCCCCCAAAATAGACCTTTTCCTGGATGAAGACTTGAAAATTTCTCTCCTTGCTGCTGCTAAAATCTCGAGCCTCTGTTGTTTTCCTTGGCTGTGAACACGTTGCAATCATAGAAATAAAGGGAAAGGCTTCCTATGGTTTTGATGAGCCAAAGTTGGCCCGATGGGGACATCTAGTGACACATCGCTGTGAGCTCTGGTGGCACACAGTGTATTTTTTCCTTTTATTCTTGTTTCCTTTTTTCCTCTCCCTTGTTTCCTTTTTTCCTTTTTTTCCCCCCCTTTTCTTCTTTTTTCCCTTTTTATTTTCTCCTTTTTTCCTTTTTTTTCCTTTTTTCCCCCTTTTTCTTTTTCCCCTTCTTTCTTCCTTTCTCCCTTTTCCTTTCTCCTTTTTTTTTTTTCTTCTCCTCCCTTCGTCCTTCTCTTTTTTACCCTTCTTTTTATTTTTACTACTATTTTTTTTCTCCTTTCCTTCCTTTCCTTCTTCACTTCCTTGTTTTATTTATTGCCTCCAGGTCCAGCAATGACGCCAGGTCTATTTCTATAAAAATCCAGTGCCCATTTATAGAAATCAAACACACCCTGGTTCTTCAGTGACGTCTGCGCATGTAGTTTCTGTTCCTTAGCCAATATTTTATGCTGTTTTTCGTTTGTCTTAACTCCGATGCACTGATTTAACATCACAGCCCTAACACATTTCCTAGCAGATGTGACAGATGATGATGCTTTCAGGAGGCTGCACACAGGAGGATGTGCTTGGTTTGCTTCTGTGGAAAACTAGGACATGCTCACCAGTGCTGTTTCCAGAGTAGGGACTGTGGGAACTGCTGCTCTTACACAGGAATGGACAAATAACTCAGCTGCAGTATCCAGAGGTGGTCGTGTTGGGAGAAGCCTCCTGCACAGCCATGGCCTCTGCTGGCAGAAAAGGGCATTTGCTCAGAGTGGCTTTCACCAGATCCCAGAATTTAAGTGCCTTCTATCAGCAGATCCCTTCTTTTTTGACCTCCAAAGTATGATACGCGTGCCGCTGCTTTCACCATTGCTTACTGGGATGATATGGTTGGTGCTTGCCTTTAAGAACAAAGACATCATGCTGACAGCATTTTCTTGGGTAAATCTTGTTTTCCAACACTTCCATCAGTGTCTAATCACACTCTCCACCTGAGGATGCCCAGAAGGTGGAACGCTCAACAGGCTGTGATTTTTCCAGTGGTCATTAAGGCTGTAGCCTGCTGTAAGTGGCCTATAAAATAAGGAGCAATTGTTTCTGCTCTTACCCAAATAGGTTATTTGTGGGACACTTGAGCCAGTGCTCAGCGCTGTGCAAGCAGAAACCAAGTGGCTGTGCTGATGGAATTAGTGCTCAGATGTGCCACGGGCACCACTTCCACACACTGGTGCTGGGGGTGCTGACATGCAGCTCGTATTTAAAGTAATGCATGGGCTGCACTTAAGGTGGAGAGGATCTTTGCTGTAGAAAAATCTTGTTCTCCCAACAGAAATGTTGCTGGTTTCCATCCTTCATTATTTTGTCATTTCTTCTTGTTTATCCGTACTGTCTTCTAAGCATGTAGTAATTTACAAATTGATTTATATAACTGGCAACAAAACGTTTGCTAAGCAGTGATGACTGGGCTGTAATTTGCTTGGCAGACAATCAGTACAAATCTCCTAAAACACACGTTTCCCATGGCAAAGCAATGTGATTTCTCTTGGATAACACTCTAAACCAAAGCACAAATTAAAGCACTGAGGATTCTTTCCAGAAGGGTTTCCCTGTCTCCGTGTGCCATCGGCAGTGTGATGGTGAACCCTCAGGCCTCTGCTTTCCCCTCTTTGCTTGCAGGAAGCTGGAGACAACAACCAGTTCTGCTGGAGAAACCTATTCTCCTGCATTAACCTGCTGAGGATCCTCAACAAGCTGACCAAGTGGAAGCACTCGAGGACAATGGTAAGGAGGATCACCATAGTAAAGTTGCCAAGGAGGCAATTTGTTCCTTCATCCAAGCCACTGATGAATGAGTGAAGCCAATGTGGACAACAGGGGACCCAATGTTGACATCTAAGGACAAAGACCAGTTCTTTGTCTTCCACATGCTTTCACAAAGTGGTGCCGCCCGGAGCTGTGCAGGCAGCAGCATTTCCACTGTTTTGTTGAGCTCCCTGCACTGACTTCCAATGCCTTTTTTTGGCAGATGCTGGTAGTCTTCAAGTCGGCCCCGATACTGAAGCGAGCTCTGAAGGTGAAGCAGGCCATGATGCAGCTGTACGTTCTCAAACTTTTGAAGATCCAGACCAAATACCTGGGGCGCCAGTGGAGAAAGAGCAACATGAAGACCATGTCGGCCATCTACCAGAAGGTGCGGCACCGCATGAACGACGACTGGGCGTATGGCAACGGTGAGTTGTGCTGGGAGGAGTCCTGGTCATGGGCAAGTTTAGCCCTAGGGCCTGCTGGAACGCTATAAACTTGCTTGGGCCAGCACCTGGGTTTTCTTTTTCTGAAGCCTTAATGCACCATCAGGAGGGAACTAATCGCATGAGGAATAATCGGATCGGGATGGGATGCAGTCAGCTCGGGTCTCCAAGATGAGTTTCTACCAAACCCAGGCCTCCATTTCCATTTTCCCAAAATTGATTGCTTTCACCACTGAGGCACCAAACTGCTCTGCACCAAACTTGCATGCCTGGGATGGCCACAGGGGGCCATCCAAGCAATTGGCCCCATACTTCACACCAGAGAGACGATGTTGGTTACAGCCCAAGGTTGTGAATCCATAAGCTGAAGCAGAGGCTGGACATGCTGGTCTGTTTAAACAGCAATTCTGTGCTCTAAATCTGTATTTTTAGAAGGCTTTTCCATCCTTTGAGCACTGCTGAGACCTTGGCATGAATTTTTTAAATCTTTATGGAGCAAATGATTTGTTCATGTAGAGCTAGAGCTCCTAAAGGGCAAGTATAAAACACTGCTTTTTTGTGTTTACACAATATTATCATATTTAAAGTACTGTGGTTATTACAGTCAATTGTTAGTTTTCCAACACTGTTAAATTTGCCCAAATTTTCAATTTTTTGTTTTTTTTTCAATAGGCTACAATGAACTTTGTGATGTTTTAGCAGTGTGCTTTAAATCTTGGTCTCTCCTTTAGAAGTCTGTGGAGATTCTGAGTAGAAGCGATGAGGCCTTTCCAAACAAAGTAGCTTTGTAATTGCACAGAGTCCTCCAAGCAGACAACAGAAATAACTGCGTTTCTACAGGCAGCTTTCTAACTGCTTAATTTACAAGCGATTTTAATACGTTTCAGTTAATTACTTCAAATTAAAATGCTTGCATAATGGGAGCTCGCTACGAATAATTATCACAGAATTAAGAACAACAAACTGGTGAATAACACAAGCGTGTGATGCTGTAAAGCCTTCATCCTTCCTTTTGTTCAAACCTTCTTTTTTTTCCGCCACGCTACGGTCTTGCTCGATCTTAAACCTAGATATTGATGCGAGGCCGTGGGACTTCCAAGCTGAAGAATGCACACTGAGAGCCAGCATCGAAGCCTTCAACAGCCGCAGATACGACAAACCTCAGGATTCAGAGTTTGCACCGGTGGACAACTGCCTGCAGAGCGTGCTGGGGCAGTGGCTGGAGCTCCCTGAGGACTTCCACTACTCCTACGAGCTGTGGCTGGAGCGGGAGGTGTTTTCCCAGCCCATCCGCTGGGAAGAGCTGCTGCGCTACCAGTGAGAGCCACCACGTCAGCCGTCCCATCGAGCAGGGACTCCAGGTGCTACACAGCGAGGAAAGGAAGATCATTTTCAGTAAAGCTGGAAGAAAATCACCTTCTTAGGGAGTCCAGGCCTCTCTGTAACCATCCAGTCACCTCGACTCTCGTTTTCTTGGAGGTTTTCCCTTTGTTGTGACCTCTTGGAGGCCATGAGGTACCAACAGAGCTGCATGGAGGCCGAGGACCAGGTTCTGGCATCTCATTCAGGAGTGGCCTCACCTGGTTTTCACTGCAGATTTACAACTGTGTATGAGAGATCTGAGCCTGTGCTGTCCCTTAGCTCGTTAAGTCTGTTGTAAGGGTATCTGAGCCTTGATAAGTCTTCATCTCACCCAGATGCCTCAAGCTGAGCTGATGTGTTTTCATTTGTTCATTTATGATGATGTGCTTCAAGCACCACACTGCTATGATGAAGTAAAAAACACAAAATAGGTGGCACCATCTGTGACAGTCCCAAGTAGAGTTGGATGACAAAGGGGATGACATTACCACTTGTCCCCAGGGCAGCATCACTGCTGGGACTGTTCAGCAGATTTACACGGTTTTTGCATTGGTCACTAGGGATAGTAATGCATTTACCTTTACCATTGCTCCACTTCCTTCACCTCTGCTCATCGCTAGGAGAATAAAATGAACAAAGAGCTTGCATGGCAAAGAGCTGCAGAGGAGGCTCACTGCCATGTTTCTCTCTACCTGCTGTAAGTCCAGAATTATTGGCCCAGAAGTTACTGACTCACGCTATAGGATGTCTACACATGACACAAAAAGCCTTTTTTTTCATCAAGCAAGATGCTCCATTACAAAGTCCATACGGGGAAATAAAATGCAGCAGGCTGATTGTTTCTGAAAGATAATTACTGCAACGTTAGGTTTCCAGAGAGCTTTCTTCATTGCTCTTTACCCTTTGCAGCCCTACAGGAGACAGTCTTCTGGAAAATAACCTGATTTTTGCACGGGTTTTTGGTTCTCTGGGAGGATGTTTGTGCCGAGTCTTAAAGTGGGGAAGAAGAGTGCTTTAGGTACCACTTTGCTGCCATCATATGACAGAAACAGCAGATGGTGCAGTCCAGAACGTTCAGACTCACACAACGAGCTGTGAGTATGGTGACAGGGTATGAAAGATCATAAGAGATGAAAGATTGTATCTTTTTCTACAGAATGTTGTCAGCCATGCACAGGGAATCCTGGTCTAATTTTTCCTCCCTTATGAAATCAGTTTGTCCAAGAAAAATGTGTCAATATAGTGCAAGCAAAAGTGGGTTTCTCCCCCGCTGTGCTGCTACCGATGCAGTGAGCATGCAGGTGAACCACAGGTATTTGTCATGGCAGGATTTGTGCTTATTGCTGTGGAATTGAATTGAGAATGTTTCCTTGATGTGGTTTGCAAAAGGCACTTTTCAAAGAGCTGCCATTAGTAAACCCGCTCACCCTTTTTAAGAATGCTTCTGTTCACAATAAACCAGAGTGACTTTTCAAGTCCATTCATTCACGTGAACTTTTTTCTTTGTGCACCTTAATTTACATCCTAATTTTGGTTGGTTTTATTTCCTTTTAGAACTCTCCCTTCAAACTAACCCAAGAAATCAGGTCTGTTGCATAAGGGGTAGAAATGCAGCTATTATGTGCAATCATAGAACCATAGAATCACCAAGGTTGGAAAAGACCTAAAAGATCACCCAGTCCAACCGTTCACCTATTCCCAATAGCTCCCACTAAACCACGTCCCTCAACACAATACCACTGGTGTCAGCCCCATGCTGCAAATACAGAGCCCAGGACTACCAGGACAGCTCAGGATTTTCTCTGAGATGATTTCTCTGATTTTCCTACCAGATGTACAGCTTTCCTCATTTCCCTGCAGGTCAGCATCTTGTAGCTGGGATTACTGAACTCACAAACTTAGAAAAGCCTTTTGTATTTGCCTCAAAACTTTTTTTTTTTGGTCTCTTCCCTGCAGTGTTAGTGTAGGTCCTGGTTATTCTGTTTGACGTAAGGTTCATTCTTCTACCTTTTGTATTTAAACTGTGCTTCATGTGAGGGTTCCACAGCTTACCATGTTTTCTATCTTTACTGAGAACGGAAATACAAATTCTTGACTGAATCTCTGTGTGGTAGAAAGGTGGAAATAACTGTAATGTTTCAATACTATTTCCACCACCAAAAAAAAATGAAGCTCTGTAGACATCCCCTTATGTGAAAACTGAGCCCATGTGTAAAAAAAAAAGTAAACAGGAGAAGGCAGAGCTTTTAACTTCTTTTACCCCATCATGGCTTTATCACGCTTTTATTGAGGCAGGCCATGCTTTGGAAGGTGATGAAAACCACTGTTCTCACTGCACTCTGCAAAGCAGCTGTGGGGCTGACACACCAGTTTAACAGGAATAGGGGGAACCTCTTATTCTAGTTACAACCAGATGTGGGTCAGTCAAACAATGCAATAAGCTCAAGACTTTCCCTCAAGGTGTTTGAGCACTGAGGCCCCTGTGGAAAACTCTCCTACCAGCACTTCTGAGCCCAAGGTGCTGCTTCTCCAGCAGTGCTAGGAAATATTTCATCCTGAGCAATTGGAAATTCCTCCCCCTTCACAGTGAAGGTTTCCATCTCCCTAAAAGAGAGGTAGGAGGCAGCAGTTATGGGAGAATCATTTTCACAGAATCACAGAATGGCCAGGGTTGGAAGGGACCTCAAGGATCATGAATTTCCAACCCCCTGCTGCATGCAGGGCCACCAACCTCCACGTTGAATGCTAAACCAAGCTGCCCAGGGCCCCATCCAACCTGGCCTTGAACCCCTCCAAGGACGTGGCATCCACAACCTCTCAGGGCAGCCTGTTCCAGTACCTCACCACTCTCTGGGTAAAGAGTGTCCCCCTGATGTCTGACCTCAATCTCCCCTCCCTCCTTTTGATGCAGAACAAATGAGTTTCAGAGCAAAGTTTCTCATAGCTTCTGTGCAGCTGAGGGAACCATATGTGTTACCTTACCCCGAACACAGCTGTTGGTTCCAGGAACGGCTGCGTGCTCAGTTTCTGTTGCAAACATCATGCAGAGCTTTTTCTTCAACCTACAGGTGGCTGCAGAAAGTTTTGCTGTTTGCAAGCTGTCTTCTTTACTGCCTGAAGATTCTTCTCCTTCTGTTTTTAGCCTCATTTCCTAGGGACAGAATGGGCAAAGACCTTACAAGCAGCTTATGAACTGGTTAGCCAACGTCATGCAAAGTCGAGCAAAGGATGAAAGGCCTCAAAGACATTCCCTAAGTTCCCTTGAAGAGTTGTGAAAGTTGACAGCTGGGTGGGGAGGGGGAGACCCCATTAAGGTCCCAGCCAAGGCCCCCAGTTGCCCTAAGGGAAGGATGTCATTAATTCCACAGCTTATGGAGCAGCTTATAATGACAGTGAGAAGTGCTGGCCTGCCAGCTGCCAGAGCTGGTGCACTCTATATATCAAACTGTAACTACAGCAGTGACTGTATGAGGTCAGGCTTATTATCCTCCCAGTTTGCACAAACTTCCCTTAATTATTTATCTAAAGCCTTGCATGTGCAAACAGCAGCTTGTTTTTCTTAGCCAGGTTCAAACGTGTTTATGAAAACCAACAGCTGAGTTCACGGGATTTCAGAGTGCTCAATCTAATATTGCTGACACAGTTGTCATTAGTGCTACTTCTTTCCACCCTGAGTAGTTAGAAAAATGTATCTTGCCAGTTGTTTTTGCTAAAAGGAGATAATTATGATTGCTTCTTTCATGCCACGTGGTTTGTTAATAAAAATTAAACATCATCTTTTTTTCTATTAACATAGAAAAAATATGAATTTTTGTATTATTTATCATTTTTCATTCATGATTTCTTTTATTACCTCCAACCCTCATTCAGAACTGCTCTACTTAGAAAGTCTGCAGAGCGTTTCTGAACCACACCACCACATCCTTTCCTGTTTTCTCCCATCCTTTTTGGCTCTTTCTGATTCCTTTGAGCTTTCCCTCAGCAGTGAAAGTTCTGGCAGGGCTGTTTCCACCTCAGAAAGCAAACTGCTCCAGTTACTGCGGCCTTATACAAGCAGGAACGGGAGAGCAGCGAGCAGCGCAACAAAGAATGGGAGCTGAGCCACCAAAAACACAACACCCACAACACAGCCATGCCCTGTCCATCCAATACTGAAGGCCCTGCTCCTATTCACATGGTAAGGAACTTCTTAAGCTTACGAAACACCTTCTGCATCACCCTGACAAGCTCAGTCTATGATACAGGGTAACAGTATCCCTCATTTTCCTTTGCCACTCAATGCCAGCAGTTCATCACTGAGTGTGAACAGGGAGATAAGGTGCTCATCAGCCTCTGTGAAGCCTGATACTTCCACTGATCAGAAAGCGATTCTCTTTCTCTGATGCAACAAAACCTTCTGGATCCTGCAACAGAAAGAAGCATTGAAAAAGTTAGTGTCTTCTAGAGCAAAGGAAACACTCATGAGAAGTTTAAGAATTGGAAATGTATGGTTGCAAGGTCTTATCACTTATCCCTGAAAACATGTAATGTGCTCAGATTACAAGAGAGGTGTTTCCCCTGGATTGAGAGAGAGGTACTGCACCATATTCACAGCACCGACATTTGGATGACATTGAGGTGTCAAGTGGTGACCCTGTTGTTATTTCCAGCGTTCCCTGGTCTCACTTCTCCACTCAGCTGGGCTCAGCTTTCCCTCTTCATCAAAGGGACAGTCATTAGACTTGTGTTAATGCATCAGAATTACTGCTAGGTGAATCTTTTTGGATTGAAATTTGTTAATCCGTGGCATATATATCCATACTGTGGATGTTATTAACCACTACATAGATGTCTTTTGGATTTCTTTTGGTCCAAAAACATCCCATTTCCCTTTAGTTTCAGAATGAATGAATCTATTTTTACACAAATGTACAAAGAGAAGTGAATCTTAAGAGATACATACTGGAAAAAAAAAAGATGTGACCCAGCACACCGGGGACAGAACATGATGACAGAACATAAAACCGTTGGCCTTCTGGACACCATAAACTTGTTTTATAGCTTCTGTGTTGTTTTCATGAAACTTGCAGGAAATTAATATATTTGAATCTTTGTGTCAGACTTGGTCAGAATCTGCCAACTTTTGGTTCAAAAGTTATGGCTGAATGGATAAGAGGCAACCTATGTGGCAGTGAAACCCCCTTTCCTTAGGAAAATGTGCTAAAATCAGCAAACCTCCAAACTCCTACCTGATATATTGAAGATAAGCTTGAAAATATGATAAGGCACATCTTAAAGGGTGATGGGCAAGAAAGTAGATTCCAATGTTTAAGAAAAACAGAACCATGATTTAGGAAGCTTCTTTGAAGTGCTGGGGTTTGGCAGTGGTGTGATCAAGAAGTGTTATTTTCTACTTTTTTTTTTTAAATGAGATGATTCATCTCCTACTGGTATTTTCCACTCGTGCTTTGGACTCTTGTCACTTTGCAGAAGCTTGGTGCTGTGAGACATGGAACAGAAACCACCTCCCACCCTCTCCCAAAACCAAAACTAAACTAACTAAATAATAATTAAAAAAAAAAAAAAAAAGAAAAGTTTGTAAAAAAGGGATTGAAAACAGCCATTCAGATGCATTCCCCTGTTTTGATCAATGTCTTCATTAATGATAAGGGTGATAGGACAGAGTTTACCCTCAGAGTTTGCTGATGGTACGAAGCTGTGAGGAGTGGCTGTGGCACAGCAGAAGGCTGTGCTACCATTCAGCGACACCTGGACAGGCAGAGCTGGGCAGAGAGGAATGTGATGCAGTTGAACACAGGCAACGTAGGGTCCTGCACCTGGGGAGGAATAACCACACGCATCAGTACAGGCTGGGGGCTGCAAAGGAGCCCTGAGGAGAAAGACCTGGGGGTCCTGGTGGCCAGCAGGGGGACCGACAGGCAGCAGTGTGCCCTGGTGGCCAATGGGACCCTGGGGAGCGTTTAAGAGTGTGGTCAGAGAAAGACGAGAGGGGTTCTCCCCTCTGCTCTGCACTGGAGGGCTGTATCTGGAATCCTATGTGCAGGGAGGGGCTCTCAGCACCAACACAAATCACAGAATCACCGAGGTTGGAAAAGACCTACAAATCATCCAGTCCAACCGTCCACCTATCACCAATAGTTCTCACTAAACCACGTCCCTCAGCACAAAATCCAAACGCTCTTTGAGCACCCCCAGGCTTGGTGACTCCACCACCTCCCCGGGCAGCCCATCCCAATGCCTGACCACTCAGAAAAGTAGCATAAATCTCCCCCGGCGCAGCTTGAAGCCACAAAGGAGAAGATCTGCTCCCCCAGCACTACACAGCCCATGCCAAGCCCTTCCGCCCTCAAACACACAAAACCGGAGGTTTTTTTTTTTTTTTGACTCCGTTTCCCCTCAGGGCCTCCGCGGAACGGTTTTCCCGCCCTCCTCCTGAGGCGACTGTTAATGACTTCCCGCCCCCCTCTGCGCATGCGTTGGCTGAGGTGGCGGGGCCTTGTTTCCTTTCCTTACGCATGCGCGCAGTGAGGGTGGGGGCTTGGTGGCACTTCCGCTTTCAATTGCGCATGCGTAGTGTGAGGTACTGGGTTTGTTGGGACTTCCGCCTTTTGCTGCGCATGCGTCAGTTGAGGGCGCTGGGCTTGTTGGGATTTCCGCCTCCTAACGTGCAGGCGTGAAAGTGGGGGAGGCGTGGCGGGCGCCATGGCAACGCGTGGCTGAAGGGTGGGAGGTGGTTGCGAAGGGCGGCTGGCATCGGGATTGGGATCTGGGATTGGAATCTGTTCACTGCTTGGGGTTCACAGGGACGGGGATTGGGGTGGGGTTGGGGATGGGGAAGGGTATGGAGGTGAGGATGGGTAAGGGGGTGAGGAAGGGGACGAAGGTGGAGAAAGGGATGAATGTGGGGATGGGTATGGATGGAGGTGGGAATGGGGATGGATACGGACGTGGGGATGGGGAAGGGGATGAAAGTGGGCATGGGTATGGATGGAGGTGGGGAAGGGGAGGGAAGTGGGAATGGCGATGGATGGAGGTGGGGATGATGATGGATGGAGTTGGGAATGGCAATGGAGTTGGGAAGGGGATGGAGTTGGGAAGGGAATGAAGATGGGAATAGGGATGGATGGAGGTGGAGATGGATGGGGATGGATGGAGGTGGGGAGGGGGATGGATGGAGGTGGGGATGGGGAGGGAGATGGGATGAAGGTGGGGAAGGGGGTGAAGGTGGGGATGGGGATGGATGAAGGTGAGGTGGGGAAGGGCAATAAGGAGGTGATGGGGATGAGGATGGAGATGGGGATGGATGGGGATGGGGATGAAGGTGGGGAAGGGGATGAAGGTGCAGATGGGGATGGATGGAGGTGAGGATGGGATGGAGATGGAGATGAAGGTGGGGAAGGGGATTGAAGGTGGGGGTGGGGATGGATGGAGGTGGGGATGGAATGGAATAATCCCAGTGGCTTGCACAGTGTGTAACTGATGGCATGGCTGTGTGTTGCAGGGTCCTGCCTCGGGGCTTGGTGTGGAGTGCTGCTTGCTAGAAGGACTCAGCCATGGTAATGCAGGTTTGGTTTTTCTGAAGGTATTGGCTCTTTTTTGATGTTGACAGACAACAGGCTGTAAAGTTCTGCATACCTTTTAGAAAGAGCCAAATCTGGTTGCTTGTAGGTGATGGCAAATGCCACACAAACATAGATATCTTGATACTTACAGAGTTCAGTTGTCATGCTTGGTTGTATGGGATGAATGGGACATTGTTAGGAACTCTCATCTGCCCAAATGTTGCCTCTGCATGCCAAAAAAAAAAAGAGCTGCTTAGCTTTGGTTGCCTGCTAAACCCATAAGGAACACCACAGCTGTTGGCTGGCATGCCAGACATTAGCTGTGGCTCTGCTGTGTGTGCCTGTGTACACATGGACAAGGTGTGACTCCTGACAGCATTTGTGGTGCTGTGCTGGAGGAGTTGGTTGGCTTTCCATAAGTGTTTGTCTTCTGGGAAGCCCTGCTCCAGGCTGTGCTGGACTGCATGAGCTGACTGCAGGCTGCAGCTTACTGATGTCACATTCAATAAGAGACAGAAAAGACAAGAAAAGAGAGTTGCTGACAAAAACTGACTGCTGACATTCAAAGCCCAGAGGTTGGACGTATTCGCTGCAGAGAGACAGCAGGAGCAGTGAGTCAGCTCTAAGCCAAAGACATTCCCTGTTTCTCACTGCAGACTCTCTACAGTAGCTTGCCCTTAGCTGTAAGCATCTTTGTTATTCTGAAAGATCAGCTATGGGACAAATTCTGACCAGGGATGTAACGGTGCTCACACAATCTGCCAGTGGCCCCGCTGGGATTACACAAACAGGGAGTGCAGTTGGGAGGCTGTTTCATAATCTGCTGTAAGCATCCACTCTGAAGCAAACCCATCCCTGGACATGCAGTATTCAACAAATTCTAGCCAGTAAAGGCCTGTGAGAGGCTCATCACCCTCTCTGATGAATGTCTGCGTTGAAGTTTGCAGTCTGCAATGGCTGAATAGGAAACGCTACTGCCATCATCTGTAGCTCGTGCTGTTTTCTGTTTGTCTTCTCTTTCCTCCTATGGGCAGTGGTTCTGTGCACTTTATATGGACCTTGTGGCTTTTTGCTTTTCTTTTATACCTGTATGTACACCACGCTGTGCTCTTTGGGTGACTGAAGGTTGCATCCCGACTGTGCTCTCGTTCCATGGAAAAATACACTGCACGTGCTGCCTTCAGCTGGTTTGTTCCCAGCTGATTCTTACGTATGGCCTTTGCACCTATCCTTAATATTTCTAATGATTTGCACAGAATTGTTTAATTAGTGGTGTGCAAAACTAGGCAAACAACAGAAATAGATGGGCAGAGGCAGTAAGTGACCAAAATGTACACAGTGTCGGATGAAAACCCAGCATATGGTTGACTTTGGGAGTGTATCACAATGCATTAATTAAAAAAATCAATTGAAAAGACCGTGGGATTTCCGTTATGCACCGACCTATTTTAGCCAGACAGAAGCGCAGTGGAACACTAAACAACCCTGTCTGATGTCTTTAAAGATTCTTACAGAGCAAATATAGATTTTGTCTGCGGTGAGAGAATCTGAGCTAATATAGCCTGAACTGTGATGCCATGAAACTGTTCCAGGATGTCTTAGGATCCTCAGCCCAGAAGGTGGACAATACAAAGGTCTAATTAGCCGTTTCTATGGTCATTTTCTCTCTGCAGGCAGGTAAAAGCAGCAAACCCAAGCGTGGCAAAGGCAAAAGCTCCAAAAAGAAGATGAAGAAGGTGGTGAAGGACGTCGATATCCTCAGCTCAGCTGCCATGCTCAATGCCCATTACATCTGCCATAATGTCCCTGCCTGCCTAGAGTTGCGGGGCTTTCCTTGGCCTGGCTCCCCCAAAAAGAAGGGGAAGAGACGAAAGTAGCTGGCTGGAAAGCAAAGGATGTGATGAAAGCCAAGCTCCCCCTGATAAGAAGAGGCTTCTTTGAACTGTAGACTCATACCAGTATCTGCAGTGGTTAGCTCAAATATTTTGCCATAATCACTGTTGTGTCCACACAAAGACACTCTTATTATAGCTCAAGTTTACAGTGACAAATGGCAAGTGACACTGGTGCTGTCGTAATTTCAGCTGTGGCCCTCAGGCCTTAGTTCTGTGCGGAATAAAACACTGAGTCTCAGCAGTTTGAGGGGGTTGTGGTGGGGTTTGTTTTACCCATACCACTGCTGTTCTTATGCAGATGGAAAGTGCTCCCCAACGTGGGTGTGCCTGCAGTTCTTTCAATCAGTGCTGGTGGAAACTTGAGCTCAGATAGCAGATACCACGCTGAGATCATCAGCATCGAATACTTCTACAGCAGCTCTGAGAGTCACCTGGTGCTCCCTTTGTGGGTCAGAAGAGCTGCACGATGCAGTCTGCATATCTGGGTGATTCACCTCATCCTACATTTGGGCAGATAAGCAATACTTGAAGCCTCACTGAACGTACTGCCAGTTCTCTTTCGGCTGTAGTGAGATTCTGGAGATCTAGCAGAGATGCTGGCAGTGATGCTGTGTTAAGTTAGAGGCGATGATGAGCCCCCCTACCAGGTCTCTGCTTACAGTAATCGCTGTTAGTCCGAACATCCTGGCTGGAAACCACAAGATTTATGTTACAGATCAAAGTCGCTTCGCTCCATTTCCTCCGTGTCAGTTTAAGGCAGCCCCTGGTGAAGCAGTACATCAAGTGAGTCTGTGCATCTCTCCCAGATTCTTCTGACTGGAAGGATGCAGTGGGACAAGAGAGGATGTGTCCTGAACTGACACAGGCTGTGAGGGGTGGGAAGGAATACAAAATAGCCAGAACCTCAGAGAAGGAGTTAGGAAAACATAATCTGAAGTAGGCTAGAGTTACTGGAAGAGGAGATGTCCCAGGCCTCTCGAATCTTTGAGCAAAAGTGAGCATGCTCCCTACATCAAGCAGCAGTGTGATGTGCACAGGAAGAACTTCAGCTGGCTTCTCAGAGCTGAACACCTGCAGCTGAGCAGTAAGCCAGCTTGGAGCCATTCCTCCAAAGCCATTTCTGATTGATTTAACTGTATGTGGAGGTGCTGCACCTTTCTGGCTTCCAGGTAGCTTTGTGTTACAGGCAGCAGAGCTGCCAATTACAACAGGTCTGACACAAACTGATAAACACCTGTACAGCTTTATGCTATTTCTCCAGCTTAACATCTTCCCTCTATGAAGAGATCTTAGCTTGATAAAAATCATGGTTTTGTGGCATTGGTTGCAGGCCAACTACTGTCGTGTAGATTACGTGAGCTACTGCAGTGCTCTACTGAATTTGTCATGTACATGCCAAGAAAATCATGGTGGGGACCCTGTTTCCTTGCTGATTAGCCTGCAGTTGGCATGTACTGCTGTTTCAGGGATGTGGTTTGCAGTACCACTTTGCTCTGCCGCTCATAGATGAGTCTTCCTCAGCATTTATTCGAAGTCTTGCTTCCCCATCAGCCACCAGGAAGTCTCTGGTCACAACATATGTTTGCAACTATTTCCTCCTGGTAACGGTGTTCCAAAGCAAGAGAGGACCAGTTTGCTCTGTGTATTTATAATCTTATGCTGATTGTTAAAAAATGAAGCATTCCCTCTTTGTGTGATACACTTGCTGCACGGAGCATTAAGGGACAGATATTTCCAAGCACAGAGGTAGGAACTACTTGGTGTCACAGGGCTGTTCTCCCACCACTAGCATTTCTCTGCTTCTCATCCAGGGTCAGTTTGCAGGAGGAAAAGCTGAAGAGCAGCACCATCTCCTGCCATAAGAACAATTGGGTGTGGAACAAGTATTTAGGGAAATAATTTCCTTCTGGGCAAGTTTCTCTACAATCACCTCTTGCAGCATCGCTGCAGTTTCCTCTGAAGCTGTTATCCAGCCAGCAGGCAGACAGTATGCTGCTCAGAACAGATGTGTGGGCTGATCTGATACAACTGCTGCAGGGAAGCAAAGCCCTTCTTACGTATGAGATAGACTGCAGCTACAACAATTTCAAGTTTTAGTGAGCAAAACTGACTGGAGCAAGTAGTGAAACATCATTAGTTGTTTTCTCTTTAAAAACCCCCAAATCTGCTTTTGTATGACACATACCAGATGGTGACCAGTGAAGTGCAAAGGATGAAGGCTCTGCTTTCAAGAGTGTCTGAGAAACTGCCATTCAGTTCTTTGATAGCAGATGAGAAAGCCCTTCCAGCCATCCCAAACTGCAAAATTAAACACTTTTTTTTCCCTTTCTCCCTCTCCCACACTCACATCCACCTCAGTTTTGCAGGTAATTCAGGCTGCCCTGTGGTTAATGAAGACCAGCAGACACCTTGAAATAAGTCTGGATTTTAAAATGGGTTGATTCTCTACTTGAATACAGTGCTTCAAACATCCACCAACTGCTGCTGACTTCTGAGAAACAGTCCAGCTTGAACAGATGCAGCTTCATGGGAGGCTCCACTGCTGTGTAACAGACATCTCTGTTTCATCACAACATGTACCAGTTGAATACTGTGGGAGGCTCTTCTTCCTGCTAGGGTACAGACTTTATAAGCTGAGTTTATGATGAATAAAGCTGATTCTGCTCAAATCCCCAAAGAATCTTTTGAGAGGGATCTGGAAGCTCAAGACCATTTCCTTTACGTCCCTTTGCAAAGGAATTTCCCAGTGCTTTGCCCATCATCTCTTACATTTCCCAGTAGCAGGGTATCCCTTGTCTTGCTGCTATTTAACAGCCATGAACAGCGTGCTGCTGGAGTACACGGAGTGTCCCTTTTGTGTAGGAGGTTATGAACCAAAACCAAGCTGTTAAAAATACACCGGATGCTGACCTACATATTTGTGGGTGGGGTACAGGGAGAGAATCAAAAGACCTGTGAGAGTGATGTCTTTTTGTTTAACTCCTGTGTGAACGGCCATTATTCACCACACTTGGTATTAAAATATCCTTCAGCCAACACTCGTGTGTTGCATGGCATTTCCTAATGTGTTATTTTCACATTAAGAAAAGCACTGCAGAGCTTTATGATACTTAAGAAAGGCCTGAGAAGCAGCACAAACTCTTTTGTCTCATTTTTCACTTCAGGAAATGCCCTGGATGTTATTTCCCAAGTTCAGAGGAGGACAGCTGAGGACTTTTGTGGTCATAAATGTTATCTCCAGAACGAAGAAGTTACCATGGCAGATATTTAAAGAAAAAACTTTTATCCAAAATGCACATTAAATGTTGGCACTAAATAGTGCCCACAGAAGTAAATAAAATTGAGGTTTTTGTGGGTTAACTCCTGTCTCATTTGCCCATTTCCACTGACTTGGTTCCCTACAGCCATCTCACATGTTTCACGGGTATAAAAGAATGTCATCCAACTTTAATGTATTTTTTTCCTCAGCCTCTCACTTCCTGCTTATAAAAAAGGTGTGAGCATTTTCTCCCTTTAACTGTTGTACAAAAGATGGGAAGGACCAAAAAACGAGCACTCACAGCAGTGGTTGCTCTCTCAGATGTGCAGGTATTGAAGCTTTCCATTCCAGATGCTGGAGCTTGTTGCATGTAGTGTGTTACCCAGTTACTGGTGGTTTTCTGGAGCTATTCAGTGAATTTGGGAGTCCAAGCCATCTTCTTGTTGCAATTGGCACTGAAAAAGAGAAACGTTTAAGAAAAATGAGGAAAAAGCTTAGTGTAACCTGGTGTCTTCCTTGGGACGGCCATGACTGTCTGCCATGAATGGAGCAGTTTGCTCTTTGGTGAAAATGCTTGGACCAAGTGCTTTAAAAGTTCATCTGTAATCACTGTTGAATGTTAGAATATTTATAAGAGCTGAAACAAAAAGCAATAGGACAAGCAGTCCTGTGAGCTAAAAGGAAGCCCCTCTTTAATGCTTTAATGCAGGACAACCAGCGTAACTGGATTATGTGAAGAAAGCCAAAATGTTAAATACTACTTAGTGCAAGTTGAAGAAAAAAAACCCAAACATTTAACCTCAGAAAAACCTTTTTTTTCCCTCAGGGTGATTCCAATAGGTCGTACATCTCTTGGGGAGCCTTTTTTTGTGTCACTCAGTAAGGTTCCTGTTCTGCAAAGTACCAGGATAACCACTGGTGAAGAGTCCCTCCACGCATCCTGAGATGACATTTCATCTTCACATTCATGGCAAACTGCTCATTTGTTGGACTGCAATGTTTGCAAAATAAAGCTGCTCGTGGACCAAGCCACGATGCTACATAATGAAGCACATTGAATGCATGGTTACAAAAGCTTGGATTGCTCACTGCATTCCAGGAACGATCTGGCTCCCTCCCTGCTTACACAGAATGTGAGAGCTTCTGTGGGTTTCTTCCAAGGGCAGTTCAGAATGTTACGTCGGTTGGCTGGTCTTCTTGAAATTGTAATGCTTACCTATGGAGAGAATTCCTTTCCTATGTCATTTGCTTGTGAGGATTCTGGTAGTTTCCCATCCTTGCTTCACAAGAGGGCTTGATAAAGAGAAGCACAGTTGGTTTAAAGCTTCTGACGTGACTTGCAGGAACGGAAGAAAATGGAATGACTTCTGAAATTATGAAATTACTATTTCTTATTATTGATAGCATTGCCTCCTCTCGTGATCTTAATTCTGTGTAATCTCACCCTGTGCTTCTGTTCTTCAGGATAAGCAATGCTCAAGCAGACATCTTCTTTTTGGGCATATTGCAGCTTTATTAGCACGAGGCTCTGCCTTAATCCAATAACTATCAAGCTTGCTCAGCTCATCTGAATGGTGTGACCTGAAGGGGTGTCCTTGAAAGCAACAGCCCTTCTGTCACCTGTTGTGTTGGCTCCTGAGATAACTTATCAAGAAACCTTGGCACCTTTAGAAGACAGACACCTTGGGAGTACCTGTTAATTACACTGTGCCCTCGGATCATGTCCAAGGAGTAGCTCTGTTTTCTCCTAAGTGCAGATGCTTTGATTCCTCACACTCGTTACATCTCCTTTCCTCTAACATTCCTTCATTTCAGCTTTTGGTTAAGAAAGTGCAAAGTGCACTCATTTTTTTTTAATTTTATTTTTATTTTGCTTTTCATTCCTAAGTCCCATTTTTGAAACCTGCTATTCTTGTTGTTTTGGTCTGTTTTTTACCTTTGTTGAAGGTAACAATTCGCACTTCTGACGTGCACTTTTTCTCCTCCCATGTTGCTAAATGGGAGAGCCATAAAACTGAGGCTCGTGGCATCGATCTCCTATAAATCTATGCATCTGCATCTATGCTTGGACTAGTTGTGTAGATTCTTTAGCTAACTAAAGTTTAGTTTAGTTTACTAAAAGGATGTGATTATTCTGACATACAAATGGGTATCAGAAAGCTCAGAAATTCCTGTGACTCCAGTGTCCTGGATGAAGAGGGTAAAATCATGTGAGAGATTCTCTGTCTAATCTTCCATTAGAAGAAACTCACCCAGCCTGCTCCTTTTGGGCATCCCTGTTCAGAGGACAAGAATTCCTCCCCATTTCAGGACAGCAGTGTCTCAGATGCAGAGCTGAACACAGCTCGACAGCCCCTTGGAGAGGAAACACAGTCGTCTTGAGCTTATCTCTCCTGCACAGTTGTAAACTCAGCCCTGTTCACTCTCACTAATAATAGAGAAGTGTAATTGTGTGCAGACCGCTAGCCCAGCCAAGGGGAAATCGCCCTGTATTTAAAAATAAGCTTAGGGCAGAATGTGAGGATGGGAGAGAAAAGAATTCCTGCCAACAGAGTTCCTACAGCATTTCTTCTTTCTTTAGTGTCTCTGTCTCTCCAGTAAATATTTTGGCTGTAAGATCTACTGCAGTTTGGTGCTGAACAGCAAGGAAAAGGCACTGAAAGGCCTAAGTGTGTTCTTCCATGCCATTCTCCAGGTAGTTGTTACTATTACTGCTGTTTTGTGGAGATCAGAGAATCACACTCATCTGGGTACTGGCAGAACAAAAAATTAATCACTAATTGTGAGAAGAAGTGAAGTGAAAAGGCTGGTTGACGCAGGGCAAGACCAAAAGCCAGACTGGTTACTGGATGCTGCAAGAGAGGAACCATGGTTGTAAAGCTGTTGTCCCCAAGAGCAGCCGTGTATCAGTCGTACTGCTGCACATTCAGACCCCATTTTGTTGTGGAATCATCACCAGTGGTTTCAGCCCCAGTCCAGGCTGCTCCTAGATCTTCACACCACGCTGGAGGACTGAGGGTAAAAATTCAGGCTCTGGGTGATGCTGCAAGAATCCTCCACCCAACAGCAGCAGCTCTGCAGAATTACTGCATTTTGGTGACAGCACAAATCGTAACAGATTTTAATTGCAGAAATTCTCCTCAAATCCTGACTCAGCTTTGGTCTAATCTGGTTCCAGAGGAGCTGCAGCAACCAGAACCCAATCAAGACTACTTCTAACAAACTCACTGTGCTATCAACATTCTCCCTAGAGTAATGAAAACCAAGTCTGGCTCTTTATGTGCCCTGCAAATCAATTGTATTGCACATTATTGGACAATAACTGTTGCAAAGATTTGTGTTAAAGGAAAGGATGCTTTTTTTTTTTTTAAATCTGGGAATAGATGTGTCTGCAGTATTCCCCTTCTGATTGGACTGTGAATGTTTAAGAACTGCTCAGTTTCTTCTGCTCAATCATCACCTCCCTCATCCCCTTATGGGAACATAATCTTTCTTTGCGGTCCCTAAAAGTCCACAGAACTTTTTCTCGCTTGCAAACCTTCTGATTGTGACACAGCTGCACTCCCACAGCCACACTCTGCATTACTGGAGGCTGCTGTTTGGTTTATATTTGTGCAATGGCTACTCTGACACATCATCCCTTCCACATTCTCTTTCCAGGCCAAAGATGTGGACATCTGAACTTTTCTGGACCCGCTCTGTCACCAGAACTCACCTTTTCCACCATGCACTGTTTGCCTTCGCCCAGCTGATCTCCTCCCTGTCCTTCTCGTGGATTTGTCATGTCCTAACGAACCCTGGCACTCCCACAGCTGTGCAACCTATGTTCCCTACCCTTCTGTTGGCAAAACATCCATCTGAACTCACAGTTAGCCTTTTGGCACCTCTTTTCCTATAGGAGTGTGAGCCTATGACACAAGGGCGGCAGCAAGAGCCTGGGGAAATGCACTGTCGTTCAATTCTGTATAGTTAGATTGTTTACTCTGGGAAATTCTGCCTCTTGAGGACTAGCCTGGTGCATTCCAAATGAATGTCCATGCCCCTCCCCATTGAGAGGCTTGAGTCCAATCTGCAGCCTTCAGATAAGAACTCTTTGAGAAGGGGGAGGAAAAAAAAAAGGGCATGTGTTAGGCCCAGCCCAAGCCATGGCCTTGTAAACATGTGCTTTCAACAGCTCGTGGCTTCATCTGCCTATTCCAAACCAATTAGTGACAGTGACACGTGGCTGAAAAATGCAGTTGGATGGGACCTTGTGTCAGCCATCCCTCTCCCTGAGGCACGTACAACTCTACCTGCAGCATTCCTGAGCAGTATTTGCCTAACCTGTCTTTAAAACCTCCACTGCGGGAGATTCCAGAGCCTCCTGAAGCTGTTGCAGTGTTATCACATCCTGCCGCTATGAAAAGATCTTGGTGGCTCACGTGAGTCTGCCTTCCCTGCGATGTACCAGCAAGCGACCTTCATCCTGTGGAGGTTTGGGTTATACCACGGCGCTCCGGTGGCACAGACCCAACTCTTTGTGCTCGTGGCCTTGTTCCAAAGCTGCTGATTAGCACAAGGGAATTCCACAGCTATTAGTCCACATCAGCTGCTTCCACACGTCTGAATGTGCTGGCAGTGCTTCCAGGAGCAGCAAACCCCACCAGGGGTGTGGGAATCAAATGTTGTTTCTGCTTTAGAATTGGATAATATTTTTTTGTTATTTCATGATCTCCGCTATCATAGTTCTTTTTGGGAGTCCTTCTACTTCACCTGGGGAAGATCTCTGATAGTTTACATCACTTATTGTATAGACGAACCTTCCCAGGCACGCACACTCTGTATCTAGGTGCATAGATGTATATTTTGTCATACACACTGCAAGAATATCCTGCAGGAGAGCAAACCAGAGAATAAGTGATGGCCTGCCCAAGGAAGTGCCTGAAGAGACATCGGAAGGCCTGGCATCATCCCCACCAGTGCTCTTTGTTTAATGATGACTTTAAAGAAAATCACCATATCAATACAAGGAGAGCACTGACACATCTTGGAAACAACAGGATGGCTGCTGACTGACACCAGATAACAAATTAACAAGTAAATAGCAAACGTAAACCTTCTGATAAGATTGTGAACCTGGACTACCCAGCCAGTGGGGAAACAGGGGAGGGGGGGAAGCAAGGGGGAGAAAACAAGGTCTAAAGGCTGTCACGATGTGCCTGTAGGTGCGCTCCTTCTTGCGGGCTCCTCCTGAGCTGACCTGACAGGCATGCCAATCGACTCGGCTGGCTCTGCAGTTCTTCTTACCACACTTCCCATATTCTTCCATCTTCAGATGGATGCCGTGTGGTCACAAGTGCCTGCCCCAGGAAGCCATTTACAGCTTTATTCCATTTGTTAACAGAAAAAAAAATGGATGGCTGTTTCATTCCATCAATGGGATGGAAGTTATTCCTACATGTATCAGTTCATAAAATGCACAGAGGGCTGACAGATGGTCAGCATGTTAAGATGCCTCCCATTTCACAGAGACTAGCACTGGATATTAGGAAAGATGTCTTCTCACAGAGTGGCCAGGCACTGGAATGGGTACCTAGTGGGGTCACTGTCCCTGGAGGTGTTCAATAATGTGGAGATGTAGCACTGAGGGATGTGGTTCAGCAGGCATAGTGGGGATGAGCTGGGGTTGAACTTGGTGATGTCACAGGTCTTTTCCAACCTGAATGTTTCTATGATTCTAAGGGAAGTTGTAAACCACTAGGAGTGGATATTAGGATAACAATGTTTGTATAACTCTGATATATCCATGGAAGAGGTTCCTACCAGGCACAGATGGTAGCTTGGTGTCCTGAAATTTAAAAAATAAGAAATAAATACAATATATATATATATATACACACACACATTTTATGCCAACAAAAATAAAACTCTGATTACTATAATTAAAAGCAACTGAATACTTCACCTGGCAGATCTCCAGCAGAGTGCCTAACACACACCTTAAGGAATATTCCTGAAAATATGTTTGTTTCCCAGCTGCAAACAAGCTCCTGTTAACCTCCCTCTTCACACCCATTCTTTAGCCATGAGGAAAACATCTCAAACCTGACAGCTTCAGTCTGAAATCCCTTCTTAAAATCCCTCCTCTTAATAAGAATTAGACCTATTTTTAATTTCCTCCCCCTCCTTTTTCCTCTGTATTTCAAATCCTCCTCCCTTACACTTCCCATTGGAAGCACCCATCCCCACCATGCTTTAGATGTGAGGAAAACACCTCATGCTTGACGTCTTCATTGCATTTAAGTGATCCTTTCTTTAAATTCTTCCTGTAAAATGGATTTATACCTATTTTTATTATTTCCTCACCTCCTTTTTCCTCTGTACTTCAAATCCTCCTCCCTTACACTGCCAATTGGAAGCACCCATCCACAGCATCCTTTAGATGTGAGGAAAACACTTCATACTTGACGTCTTCATTGCATTTAAGTGATCCTTTCTTAAAACCCGTCCTATAAAACAGATTTATCCCTATTTTTGTTATTTCCTTTGCCTCCTCCCTCTGTTTTTAAGACTCTCCTCCCTCCTCACACCCATCCTCCAGCTGTGAGGAAAACATCCCATCCTGACAGCCTCATTCCGAACCCCCTCCTTAAAATCCTTCCTACTGATCAGAATTAGCCCTACTTTTATTCTTTCCCTCACCACCTTGAATCACTTCAAATCACTTAGATCCTTCACTCACATCCTTCAGCTCATCACTGGAAGCCCTCAGATGTCCCCTGTCACAAAACCACGCCCTCCCCAAGATGGCACCTCCCGCTCCTCACCCCTCAGCCCTCCCCAACATGGCGCCGCCGCCACCGCCCCCTTCCCAAGATGGCACCTCCTCTCTCCCCATTACCCCCACACCGCCCTCCCCAAGATGGCGCCCCTCACGCGGCCCTCTCCCTCCCCATCATGGCGGCGGCGCCGCGCTATGACGCCATACGTCCTCCCCCCGCCCCCGCCCCCCCTCTCTCCCTCTCCCCCCGGCCTCCTCCCGCCGCCGCCGCTCTCCGCTCGCCGCTCCCCGCCTCTCCCCTCCGCCATTGCGGCGGCTCCGCCCGGGCCGCGCCGCTTTCCCCCCTCTCCTCTCGCTCTCCCCGTCCCCGGCCGCCTCCCGCCGGAGGCCGCACGGCGCAGGCCCGCCGCAGCGCAGCCGCTCTGAGGTGAGTGTCCTACCGCGCAATCTCCAGCTCCTCCAGCCCCGGCGCAGCCGCAGCAACGCGGGGGCCCCCGCCGGCCGCCAGCACCCCCGGCCCCGCCGCCCCGCGCCGGGCCGCGCCGCCCCGGGAGGGGGTCCGGGGGACCGCGGGGGGGGTCGGGAAGGCCTCGCGGAGCCCTCCCGGCTTTGGGGGTTGGCCGGGGGATCGGGCCGGGCCCGCGGGCGCGGGGCAGCGCCGGGCCGAGCGCGGGAGGAGCGGCGGGGCGGCGGGGACCCCTCTGCCATTTTGTGCGCCCCGCCGCCGCTCCTTCTACTGCGGCCCTGCTGTAGTTTGCCGGGCGCTCCCGGGCTGCTTGCTCTTTATTTCCCTCCTTTTTTTTTTTTTTTTTATGTTCTTTTTTTTTTTTTTATTCCTTTTTTAATTTTCCCACCTCCTCTTCTTCTATTCCCCCTTCTTATTTTTTTTCCTTTATTTTTTTTTCTATTTCCCTTTTTGTCTAATTTTTTCCTTTTTACTTTATCTAATTTTCCTTTTTACTTTATCTAATTTTCCTGTTTATTTTATCCAGTTTTCCTTTTTTGCTTTTCCCCTTTTTTTTTTTTTGCTTTTCCCCCTTTTTTTTTTTTTGCTTTTCCCCCTTTTTTTTTTTTGCTTTTCCCCCCCTTTTTTTTTTTGCTT